AAAAATCCATAAAAAAAATGCCAAACTCTTACAACTAAGGATTAAAATACATTTATGCTAAAAATAAAATATAAAATACTATTTTAAATAGCAATAAATACTATTCTGAAATATTTATTTATAAAAATAATTTTTCAAATTTTTTCCTCAATTTCTTTTTCATAAAAAAAAAAAAGTTAAATTAAGTTTGTTATTTTATTAATGTAATTTTAACATAAATTTGACACAAAGTACAAATTCTTATCCTATCAAATTCATCAATTTACTTAAACTTTTCAAAACAATAAAAAAAAAAGTTAGTTTAAAAATCTTTTTAACATTTTACTACCATATTATCCATTCATTACTAATTTAAAAGGAATATTTGACTCATTAAATTAGAGAGCTTTTTTTTTAAAGTTTCATGAATAAAATAATCTTTTTTCATAGATTACTTCAATTATTTTTTAAAAAATTTTCTCATAAATTATTTTTCATAAATTTTGTTTATTACTTTAATTATTTTTTAAAAAATTTTCTCATAAATTATTTTTCATAAATTTTGTTTTTTTTTTTCTTTTTTTGTTTGAACATGAAAGAATGCACAAAAAAAAAAATTTAATTTACTAAATTTTGATCAAAATTTTCATTTATCAACAGAAGTGGATGACAATATTTGAAGATTGTCATCTATGCTCTGACCTCCAATGTGCCATAAAAAAGTTCAAGGTTTTTTTTTTTTTTTTTTTAAAAAATGAGTCACATTTGGGTCAAATTTCATTTGCTTTGTTACAATTTGCATATGTATATGCATATATATACTTTTTTTAATTGAGTGAAAAAGAATTTTTTTTGAAAAATTTTTTATGGAAAGAATATTAAAATTTATTTTATTGAGATTTTCAAAAAAAAAAAAAAAAAGAAAATTGAAAATTTTTTGACAAAAATTAATACAATGCTCATTACTAAAAATTTTTTTTATCATATAGAATTTACTTTCAATTTTTTACTTAAACATATTATATTTTAACCTATAATATCAATCTAAGTAAAATTTAATCATTTATCAAAAATTAAAATTAAATAAAAATCTATTTTATTATCACCTATTTTATAATCATATCTGCTAAAAAAAAAAAAGATGCATCCGTTAATTTATAATTTTTTTATTCCATAATAATTCTATCAAGGTTATCAACAATATAATTCATTATATTATCTCTCTCTCTCCCTCTCTCTCTCTCCCTCTTTCTCTCTCAATTTGATCTTATCATTATCCGGTCGTATCACTAAAGATTTCCATCTCATTGCGACATTTGACATTTCTTTCTTTTAATCACTTTTCACTTTTCATTTCTCTCCAATCATTACTCTTTTAAAGTTTTAATAAAATTTATCAATGCTTATCAGTTGCATTCACAGGCATATATATATATTTTTATCAAATAATAACGATTGAAAATTTCACTAAACTTTTTATGAATCATTTTTTAATTCAAATTAAAATTCAATTCACGCTTCATCATTCCATCATTGCATTTAATGATTTCAATTCAACTCCATTTATTTTTTTTTTTTTAAAAAAAAAGAAGAATGATCATTGAATATACATATTTATTCATTTTTTGTTTTCTTTATATTTTATAATTATTTCTATATTAGCTAATTTCAATAGTTTAATTTCAACAATTTCAATTTATTTTTTAACAAAATCTTCATCTTTTATACAGCTTTTATCTTTATTTTATTTCTATCTGTCATTTACACGTTACATTTATTTGCGCACATACAATTTTAACATTATTTACGTACTATCTAACGCTTTTATGATGATAAATGTTAATTTGAAAAATGTCATCTTATTTCAAAGTGCTCTCAATTAGTATTTATTTTTCTTTTTTTTTTGTTTAGATTAATTGTTCATTTTCAAGAGGTCATCAAAATTTCCTTGTGCTAATTCCATACAATCTTTTCTTGTCTCATTGCTACATCGATCTTTCTTGTAAAATTTATCTGTGACAATTAATCATCTATAAGCTATGTCCTTTTTTTTTTTTTTTTTTTTAATTCATTAAAATATATTAATTATTCCAATTTTAGCTTATTCTTATATTCTTCTGTTCTTTTTCTTCTTTTCGCATAATATTTTTATTGAATGATTGAAAATTTATAAACGTTTAATTTCTATAATAACGGTTATTAGTAATAGTACAATCCGATTTGAAATCGCTTCATTGTGACACAATTTTATGTGATCATTTCAAAAATTGTTAATGATTTGTATTAAAATCATCATCCTTTTTCATCACTATGTCGAACAAAAGCAATAATTGTGACGAGAAACTGGAAAATTTTCATCATTGTTAATATCTTCGTTTAGTAATCCGGTTTTTTAGTGATAACCGAATTTATAGTTTGAGAAATAGCTATCATTTCATCCGGTTTTTTAGCGGATAACCGAATTTATACTTTGAGAAATTGCTATCATTTCATCCGGTTTTTTAGCGATAACCGAATTTATAGTTTGAGAAATAGCTATCATTTCATCCGGTTTTTTAGCGATAACCGAATTTATAGTTTGAGAAATTGCTATCATTTCATCCGGTTTTTTAGCGGATAACCGAATTTATAGTTTGAGAAATTGCTATCATTTCATCCGGTTTTTTAGCGATAACTGAATTTATACTTTGAGAAATTGCTATCATTTCATCCGGTTTTTTAGCGATAACCGAATTTATACTTTGAGAAATTGCTATCATTTCATCCGGTTATTTGTGCTAATTTAAATTCAATAGCCAATTCTATTTTTTCCATCAAACTCATCTTGAATATTTTATAAAATTTTCTCTTTCTTTCATTCTTTTTTTCCCTTTGTCTCTTTCTCTCTCTCTCTCTCTCTCTCCCTCTCTTTCGGTTCATTTTATTATTTCAACTTATTAGTAATAATCTCTTTGAAGTTTCCATTTATCTTTCCAGTAGTAATTTGATTGTTTATTTAATCTATCTTTATTTTAAACTTTTTAACCTTTAATGTGTGAAATTTGAAATTTTTGTAAATGTCAAACCTGAAAGTTTCGAATTATTGCTGACATTTGACCTTTTCAAATTAGCGTAGCGATATTTGCTCAATTAAAATTCACAAATTTAAAGAACTTCAGTAGATTATAACAATGTTTAATTTACTGATTTACTGATATAAGATGAAAAAATTTCAACTTATCAACAATATATTTTTTTTTTTGAGTTTATTTTGTTTATTTATTTATTTTTTTTTTAATTTTGAATTTATTTCAAAATTGCTACTAAAAAATTTTTCATCAATCATTTTAGAAATATCGAAAATAACTTGAAATAAATTAATTAAATTTTCAAGAAAAAAGAATTTAATGAATGATTTTATTGTGTTTATGAATTTGTTAAAAGATTATTTTATTAATTTTAGTATTTTCATCTTTCTTTTTTTTTTTTTTTTTTTTTTTGATAATAATAATAAACTTTTTTGCTTTTCAATTTTTTCTCTGTTTTCTATCTTTTTTTTTTTTTCAACAAATTCAATTTCTCACGGAAATTAATTTCCAATAGATTTTTTTTTCTTTTTTCTTTTTACTGATATTTTAGCATTTTTTTTAGAGAAAGAGAGAGAGGGAGAGAGAGAGAAGGGGAGAAAGAGAAAAGATGGAGTAAAATTTATAAATTATTTTTTCATTTTCAGAAAATGGAAAAAATATATGTCTTTGATGTTCCTTTTTTTCTTCCTTCTATCAATTCTTCAATTCAATTTTTTACAATTTTAGTTCATCGTTTCTCTTTCTCTCTCTCTCTCCCTTTCTCTCTCTTTTTTTCTCTCCCTCTCTCTCTCTCTGTAAAAAATGCTTTCCTAATATTTTGGAATAAATCATAATGTAGAAGACCAAATAATCATTCATTTTAATAATTAAAATTAAACTGCTAATATTTAATAGAATTAATTAAGTTTAAATATAAATTTTTACTTCAAAATACGATCAAATATATTTCAAAGATTAAAATTTTTCTAAAATAATGCTAAAACTTGTAAAATTATTCAAATATTGAAATGATATTTTACATCTAGAAAAGAGTTTTTTTTTTTTTAAAAAAAAAAACAAAAAAAGTGATAACAATACCTAAAACAAATTTGAAATTGTTAATTTTAAATTTAAGTTTTTTAAAAAAAAAAATGTGAAATAAATATTTCTGAACTATTTAGATGATAAATATCTCATTTTTGTGAATGTTTATATTTTGAAAAGAAAGAAATGATACGATCTGTTGAATTTTTTTTTTTTTTTCAGAATTTATCAATAAAATATGAAAATTTCTGAATTATTTAGATGATGAATATCTTATTTTCCTTTTCTTTTTTTCTTTCTTTTTTTTTTTTTTTAAATAAATTTTAGAAATGAAAATATTTGCTATTTTGTCACTGTTTTTGGAAGAATTAATTCTCAAAAATTTGTAATTGAATTCTTAAATTTATGAAAAAAAAAACATTTTTCCTAAAAAAAAAAAAAATAATTAAAATTCAAGTGATTCATAGAAGAAATGATATTTTAGGTGGGAAAATTTTTTGCATTTATTATTTCTATTTAAAAATGCAAATTTAGAAGTAAGAATGTAATATTTGAAATAAATTAGAAATTAAACTAACATTCGAAATAAATTTTAAACAAATTATAAAAAGATGCAAATTTTAATTTTTGTTTGTTTGTTTGTTTGTTTTTTTTAAATGAATTCAGCAAGTTTCTTTAATGGAATTTCATTTTTTTCTTTTTTTTTTTAAAGAATACTATAAAATTTTAATTAGTAATGTAATTTTAAAGAAATTAGAATAATTAGCAATTTCAGCAAAAAAAAAAAAATTTATTGTATGAAAGAAAAGTGAAAGAAAAATGACACAAAATGGTCAACAAAATAGCAACGATCAATTAAATCTAAAACAAAAAATATTTATTGAAAGTATAAATGAAATAAATGAAAAGCAACAAATAATTGTTGCAAATATGAAAAATAAAAATGAAATAATCGTTGCGGAAAATTTTACAACAAATTCTGAAAGGTTAATTTTTTTTTTCTTTTCTCTTCTTCAGAAATATTTATTTGTTTTTTTTGTAAATTTTATTTTTTAATTTTCAATTTTATAAAATATCTGCTGAAATGGGAATATTTAATAATAAGTATGTAAAATTTAGCAAAAAACAAAAAGCAATATCATGGTTTCAAAAGCAGAAAATATTTTTTGAAATGGTATGTTTCACTGCCTTTTTTTTCTCTTTTTTTTTTTTGCTTATAAAAATATTTTAAATGATTTTCAAATAAAAAAATTTGCATCAAAAATTTCAAATAATTTTATTATTTGGAATTTTTGATGCAAATAAGTTCAATATTTTTAGTATCTACAAATAATTAGACGTATTATAATCACAAATATCATAAGTACAAGTATTATAAGTACAGTAAGTCAGTAAGTATAAGTAAGTAAATGTAAATAAATAGCAAAAAAAAAAATAATTTCATGTAAAGTATAACTTTTGATAATAATACATCATTTATAGGTTTTTGGATAATATACAAGAATTAGATCTATTAAAATGGATAAAATATGATTTCTTTTTTGATCTATTAAAGTGGATAAATTGTGATTTCTTTTTTGATCTATTTAAATGGATAAATTGTGATTTCTTTTTTGATCTATTAAAATGGATAAATTGTGATTTCATTTTTTGATCTATTAAAATGAATAAGGTTCTTTTCAAAAAAAAATAAAATTTTCAGATTTGTGATACAAAATCAAGCAGTAATATTTTCCTCATTGGTATACTATTTGCATTAGTTAGCGGTTGCAGCATTTCATCAGCAATAATATTTTTTGGTCGAATTAAGCATATTCTGTTGACAAATGAGTTGACAAATGAGTTGACAAATGAGTTGACAAATGAGTCAACAACTGAATCATTCCTTAAAGCAATTTATGAACAAATAATTATTCTTGCATTTATTATTCTTTTAATTGTTATTACACATTTTGGAATGGTAATTATTCCTATTTTTTTATTCTTTTTCTTTTCTTTTTTTTTATTTTTTACTTTAACAAATTTAAATTACTAATACTTTCGTTTTTTTTGTTTACTTAAATTAAAAATGAAATTGTTTAAGTTGACATTTTTTTTGATGAGAATGAAAAAAAAAATAGAATTCTATGTTATAAATAAGCTTTTAGAAAATTTTTGAAATATTTTTTTTTTTTTGTTATACTTACAATTATTATTATAGATTATGTTATACTTATAATATATATTAATGCTATTAATTTGTTATTAACTTATATTTTAGAAAATTTGAGACCTTAGTTTTATATGATTATTTTATTTCCAATATAAAATGCAATATAAATTTCTAAATTTTTTTTTTTGAGGTTTATTTATTACAATCCTTGACCTAATTTATTTCTAACTATTTCAAATCATAGGCTTATATAATCAATTTTGAAAGAAATATTTTATGAATTTGAAATTTTTTCATATTTTTTATTTTTAGCTTATATTTTTTTTTAAAAAAAATTTTTACCTTTAGTTTGTACTTTATTTTTTTCTTTAATTTAATTTACAAATTTTTAGTTTTAGTTTAGATAAATATATATTTTTTAATAATATAAGTTAAAATTAAGCATTTATCAACCACAGTTCTGAACGATAGAATAAGAATTCGTTTGAAACGATATTATGATGGAATGCATAAGCACAGATATTTAAATGAAGAAATTATTACAAAAGTAATTGAGTAAGTTTACTTTTCTTTTGTCTAATCTTTCAAATTATATCTTTAAAAAAAAAAAAAGTGAAATCAAATTTTTCCTTTTTTTTCATTAAATTTATGATGTAAAAAAAATTTCAATATTTGAGAATTTTTTTTTTTTTGCTTTTCTTTAACAAAATCAATAAAAATTGAAAGAAAAGAAAAAAAAACATTTAAATTAATATTTTCTCATAAATTTCAATGTCCTTCAAACGAAAGAGAATACTGCAATAATTTTACAGTAGTAAAACATATAAAAATATTTGAAAGTTTCAAATGAAATTTACAGAAATGTTAATTTGATGGAAAAAGGATGGGAAATTTTTGGAATGCAATGTCGAAATGTTGCAATGATCATATCATCACTGATAATTTGTTTTTATCATCAAATTCATTTAGCATTTGTTTTATTAAGTGTTATACCATTAGCTACAACATTGAATATACTTTCAAAAAAGGTATTTTTTCCTTTTCTTTTTTAAATGAATGAATAATTTGATAGAAAATTTTGTTAAATATAAACTTTAGAGTAAAAAAAAATTTTTAATTTTTAGAAATTGAAAGGAAAAACAAAAAAAAAAAAAGAAATTGTATCAAAACAATGCAAAAAAATATAGCAATTTATTAGTTATGAAAAAAAAAAAATTTTGTTATTTGTTTTTAATTTTTTTTTTTACTAATATTAAATTTTATTTGGAAAAAAAAAACGAAAATTAAATTAATATTCAAAAAATTAATCATATATCATTTAATTTTAGCAATAGTATAGCAAATATTTTTTTATTCAAAAAAATTTTTTTTAAGCTTTCAAAGAAATCAGATAACATTTTATCTGGCAAAATTTCTCAAACAATTCAAATGGAAAAAGAATTATTGCTGCGAAAAAATTCCATTGATAATATTGCAAATGATGAACATTTGATAAAATTATCATCAGAAATGAGAAATTGCACCAAATATGCAATTCTACATCAAATCTGGAAAAGTTCACATTCCGGAATTCTATCATTTACAATATTTACATTTGTCGGATGCGGAATGCTGTAAGCTGTTAATTTTTCAATTTTTTGATTTATTTATCAAAAATTAATCTAATTAATAGAACTATCTTCAATGTTTATTTATTGTGGTTACTAAACAAATTCTAATCTTTCAAAAAAAAAAAAAAATTGCTATTCTCATTTAAATCTTTTTATTATAGAAGAAAAATTTAATCATATTTAAATGAAATTTCAGTTATGGTGGTTATCTTCTTGATACAAATCCACTGATAAAAAAAGGTGATATCTTTATCATAGTATTATCAATGGCACTTATTGCTGATAGTATTTCAACTACTATCACATATCATTATCTTATCAAGAAAGGTGTCTACGCTGCATTGTATATCAAAAATCTTCAGAAATTTGATTATCGATTTATGGTAAAAAAAAAAAATTCTATTTGTTATCTGATAACTGATTAAAAGATAATTCTTTTTTTTTTTTAATCGTAATCTTTTTCATTCTTTTCTTTTTTTCTTTCATTTTTTTTTTTTTTTTTTAAATTAAAATTGTTTCAAGTTAACACGATATTGCAATCGACGTTGTTCAGTGGATGAAATAACTGTAACATTAATCACAGTCCCAGAATTTAAGAATTCAATTGTTTCACAAAGCGGAAATTCCTTTATTCGATTTATCAATGGTACCAGAAATATTTTATGTAATTATCATAATCATAAATTATTTCTTGTAAGTTTATCAGTTATATTACATTTGTATGTTTTACATTATTATATTTACGAAGTACATTTGATTAACATTTATCTGAAATTATTTGATTTAAATTAATTTTCATATTCATTTATTTAAATTAAACAAATCTATGATAAATCTATGTAAAATTCAATATTTATTATCATTTAACAAATAATGTGTCAACTCAAATTATTAATTCTTTTAATATCGATTAATTTTAGAAATTAGAAATTTTAGAAAATTACAAATTGGTTATACAAATAATTTATACACTGAAATTTTGCTAATTTTATTAGATATTCAAATGGAATTAATCAATTGATCAATTTGATTGATACATTTTAATGAAATTACATGAAATAAAAACAAAAAAATGTAATTGTAAAATGATAAAATTATCATTTTAAGCTTGTTGGTTTCATCTTGGCTATTATTTATGGACTTGAACAGGTGGCATATAATATAGTTATGGGTGAAATTTTTACAGCAATGCTTGGTGACACACCAAATATTCATATTTTAACTCTTTGTGCTATCCAATTATCTGCTATTGGTTTTGCTGTATTTATATCACAAACCGTATCGGTTAATAGTTTTTTAATAATTTAAAAGAAAAAAAAAACAAAAACAAAATCGAAATAACAAATATTTGTATCGAATAAATAAAAATAAATTTATTCTAAAAAAAAATACACATATATATAAATCAAATAATTAATTTTTATTTGTAATAAAAAAAATAACCTTAAGCAAAATATCACTTAAATGCTTACATTCTTTTCAAAAATTTTTATTTATAAAACTATGATTAGTATTGTAAATACTGTCTATAGTCTATGAAAGAGAAAATTTTTGCTAATAAATCAAGTAAAAGTAATTTAAATATTATAGATAATATCATTTTAATAGTTATAAAAATAGATTTTAGAAAAATGAATTTTATATTAAATAATCTTCAGTTATTCATTTATAAAATATATGTAAGCATAAATTCTCTTATTAATACTTAGAATTAATTTTGATTAAATCAAGTAAAAAAATTTTTTTCCCTCAAATTTAGATTAAATAAAATAAAAAAAAAAAGTTCTAAACTTTTTCAATTTTTAGACTATATTGATTGCTATAGCATCGGAACATATGGCTGTGTCATTTCATGTCATCTTATCTCGTCATCTGTTAAAAATGGCTGATAAAGAATTATTTAATAAATCAAAAATTAACACTTTAGTGGATGAAAATATTTCATTAACATCTGAAGCAAAATCGGTAAGATATTTTTGGCACAAATATAAATAAATTAAATATAAATAAATAATAAATAAATAAATTTTAGGTGTAAACCATATAGCTAATTTTCTTTTTTTTTTCTTTGCTTATTTACTACCTATATTTATATATTTAAAAAAAAATACCTATATTTATATATACTATATTTTTTATATTATTTACTACTTTTTTATATTATTTACTATATTTACATTGATAGTAAAAATTATAATAATTTTCTATAATTATTTGATAAAGTGATTCGATTAGAATTATAGCAAAATAATTTATTTATGAAAATATTTTACTTTTTAGATTTAGATTATTGATGGTTTTTAGATTATTATTTCATCCAATTAAGATATATCAGAAGTATGTTTAAAAAATTTTTCAATTATCTTATTTTTAATGCTAATCATTTTGCTATGATAAAATGTTCACAGGAAAAATAATAAATAATATTTTATATATTATAGTTTTATCATCCATATTTATCAGAATTAATGACACGCATAACATCCATATCAACAAATATCATTCTTGGCTTCATTTATAGTTGGGAAGTAAGTAAATTTGTGATATTTCATAGAGTAAAAAAGAACTTTCTTTTTTTTTCTTTCATTTATTTTTTTATTTCAAATTATTTACAATTTCATTGACAGATAACTTTGCTTGGATTCATTTTTATTCTTTTGTGCTTTTCCATACAAATTGAATTGGAATTCGAATTATTGACTTATTGTTACAAATGTACAGGTAATCGACGTATTCCGGTTAGTTTATATATTTTTGTATAAGCATTAAAATTTGTTTTGTTATATATTTATCATAAAAATAATAGTAATAATAACAACAATAATAGCAACAGTAACAAATAGTAATAATATGATAATAATAATATTATTATTATTAAATGACAATGATTATTATTATTATTATTGTAATGCTATGACAAATTTATTTCAATTAAATACTAACATGTATTTATTGTATGAATGATATTTGATGAGAAAATAAAATTTAAGCTTTCTTATAGAAAAATGCCAAACTACTAAAATCATGCAAAGATTCTGTACTTCGAGCAGTGAATTTTTCAATTGTGCAAACATTTGGATTTGCTTTAAAAGCACTATGTTATGCATTGACTGCATTTATCTGCTATCATCAGTACAAACATCAAACACAAGCATTTATGTATGTAATATTTTTTATTCAAATTTAATCCTAAAAATTTCATCTGTATTAATGAAATTGTAAAGTAGTAGCAATTTCAATACTGTTATTACTCAATCATAAGTTATTCGCATTGGAAATGGTGAATTTTTTACAGGAGTGTAATTACATTGTTTACTGCAAGTCAAGAAATTGTACAACTACCAAATCTTATCGGAAAACTCTATAAATCATGGCAAGCAGTAAATCAAATATTTGCTTGCATGAATAACAAATCATGCAGAAGTTACATGCCTTCTATTTCAAAAAGTATTAGGTTAGAGTATTAAATTTATTTAAATTATCCTAAGCAGACTATTTTTTATCTTTTCACATTCACTCCAACTCCTATTTTATATGTTTTGTATATTTGGAATGAATAATCATATTGCTTTAAAGTTAGCAGGTAATTAAAATGCAATTCCATCACTTAAAACGTACTTATTCCTTTCATAACTGTCAACTAGGAGTAAATATCGTGGTTCCTTTTGTACCATATCGATCAAAATTTAGGAAAATTAGAATTCAGAAATCTGAAATTTGATCTCCTTCATGTAAATTTATGAAATGAAGCGTGTTCCGAAAACTATGTTCACATTAACCTTAATTATTTCATCAGACCATATATTAATCTACATTTTATATTGATACCATGAACTTCTTACTAATTTAAAAGAATCCAAAAAAAAAAAAAAAAATCAAATTCCAATTATTTTATATAATAATGGTTACCATGAACAATAGATGAACACTCCTTTATCTCATTCATAGCTACAAAATAAAAAATAAAATTTTAAAGCCAATTTCCTCCATGTGACAACTTTTAACGATAAAATCTACCGTAAAAAAAATCACTTATCTATCACACTGTTAACGTTAGCAACCATTTTTCAAAGAAAAATTTAACTCCCATTCCTTTATCGTTTCATTCCTTTTTCTCCCTGAGAATTTTTGGACAACAAAGAATGGATGATACTGCATATTCGGAAGGCAACTAACCCTAAATCATATGAAACCAACTTAACATATCGAGCATTCACTATTCAAAATTATAAATATTGTTGAATTCAAAAAAAAAAAATAGAGTAATTCAACCAGAGATTTCTTCACTAATATGTTTGTTATTCACTTGCCAAAGTTCTAAACCCACACTAGTCATGTCATTTAATTATCTTAAACAGTGAGAATAAATTAGAGATCAACAGTGACATATGATAAAAACGGAAACGGTTTATCTAAAACAAAGAAAAGGTAAGTAAAAGTTTTCTCCAAAATATGAGGTTCATTGTATTCATAAAAATTTTCAAAAAATAAGCATAATAGAAACAGTGCGTTTTAGTTAACCGACAGCTTTTAATTAAAAATATGAAGAAATATAAGATTTTAATCTTTTGACTTCAATAAAAAGATAAGACCTAAAATGCCGTTTCCACTTACAGATAGCAAGAATAACAGTTTTATTATCAATGTACAAAATACAATGGAGAGCAATTACCGAACTTATAACTCAAAAGTTAGTGCCATCGTGATCTCTTCTTGCTGCCAAAAGTTGGACAATCATCAGTGCTAGTATTTTTTTTACAGCTTTCTGAAAAAGTACGAAATAAAAAATTAAAATCAGTTGAAGCTTCAAAACCACTGGCAATAAATAAACAGAATGAAATTGTACACTCTTAAATGCCACTCATCAAAGATGTTGAAACGAATTCATCCCACAACAATGACTCATAAAAGGAGAAGAATGGTAATAAAATCATGAAAGTAAAATGATTAAAATAATACCATCGGATTTAAGTTATTTTTTTTAAAAAGAAAAATTAATTTAAAACACTTCATTATTCTTCTACATGCAGCAAATCAAAAAGTGCATTTCTCATTCGAAGTTATGCACTACGCTGCCATGCCATTATGCACATCTTAATTTATAACATTTGTTTTCTTTCATCTTAATAAACATCTTAATTTGCTCCTTCATCAAAATCACTATTTCTGTTTTCTTTCATTGCTAAGTGAAATACCTTCGCGAGTAGCAAAACCACTATTAATCGAAGCTACAACTTGTCGGTTCACAGCTTCGGCCGCTTCTTCAAGTTTTCTTTTCCATTCTGGAGTTGGATCAGTTGCTGGAGCTCTACTTGCTGCCCATTCATCGCTAGATGATGGACGAAACGTACTACTAAACGAAGACTGCAATATCATTTTTATTATTCATAATTCAAAATTTTCCACTGAAATTTTTAGCTTTTCAAAACAAATGCTTTTAAATACAAAAGTTGAGTAGCTCAAATAAATTGGATAAATAGAAATTACCAGCTTATTTAATATAATCATTTCCCAGATGTATTATGATACCGGACATGGCTCTGCCAACTAATGAACTACCAAATCTAATCTAATTGTTGAAAATGTTCGATTCTAGCCGGTTATGACTAATCATTATTAACTATAGAAAACCAAAACTTCAGAGATATACTATCTTGTTTTAACACTATTCAGCTCTTAACTGTTACAATTCGAAAACAAACTGCAAATGATCATTAAAAACCAAATTATTTCTCTTCGCCTACCACTTTTCCATGAACTTTGGTAACATACATAAAGAAATAAGATATATTATTACTGAAAGCTTATATTAGTACTAACTTTGAAAGCGGCTTTCATGGCTTGCAAACGATTTGTGGATCCATCAGTAGCTTTTGCCATATCCAGCACATTCTTCGCCTTTTTCTGACCTTCCTCAAAGTTTAATGCTCTAGCTATGCTAGTAGTACCTGTATCAGTCCGTGGATCTACAAACATAATATATTAGCTACATAATTTTATGCTTTTTAAACTAGTTCACATTTGAAACATCTCTGATTTCAAAATACCTAGTTTTCCTAAGTTAACATTTAGTTAATTTCATCCTTTCATAGGAACATAAAAATACTTTCAACTTTATATATATATAAATTATTAGAGAAAAACTACTAACTCTTTGCTTTTGGTTTATATCCTAATCCAAGCCTCTGTTGCGGTCGGCTTGCTCCTCTTTCCCGAGAATTACGAAACCAGGATGACTTCATCGCCAACTGGAGTAACAGCTCGGGCACAATCTGATTGACACTCTCTAGATTTCTCACTAAATGTCCAGCCATTTCTTTGTCGCTCTCCTGCACCAAAGTATATGCCCAACCTTTCTGGCCTAAAAAATGAGTTTAAAGATTATCAACTCACACTCACTACTCACAACTCACTACTCACAAACTAAATTAGTGACATAAAAGCAATTGGCTGAACTAAAACGAAACGAAAAACAAAAACAAAAAATGCTACAAAAAAATAACAATATACCTGCACGTCCCGTCCTACCAATTCGATGCACGTGAGTGTCAATATCACGCGCTAAGTCGAAATTGATTACTGTTTTAATTTCTGGAATATCAAGACCACGAGCTGAAAAAAAAAGAACAGAAATGAACAACTGATTATTTGCAAAATATTTCAGGTTTATCAAAATGTTTTTGATTACAAAACCAAAAGCGAGAAAATGCACATAGACTGAATTTAAAAATTGTAAGATTGTCTAAGCTCCTAATTTAATACATTTTCGTTTACAACCTAATAGAGAACTTTTTCTTACCAGCTACATCTGTAGCAACTAAGATATTTGCATCTTTCCGAAAAGCTTGCAATTTCTCATTACGCTCTGCTTGCAACATGTCACCATGCAATAATATAGGTTTAAAATCTTTGGTACGCAAACGATTCGCTACATCCTCGGCGTGTATCTTCTTTGTCACAAAAATGAGAACTTTTCCCACTGTAATCAAATTAATTAGAAATTAATTAGAAGGAGTAAATATTTTTATGTTAGCCAAATTTTCTGAAGGGAAGTGATACTACCTCCATTTGCAATCATAAATTAGTGAAAAAGACTGAATACATGGTTTTATTTGGAATTTTTTCAAAAATATAAGATAGATTCAACAAGAGCTTACTGGATGAAAATTTTACAAGATGATTTAACAACCACTGCCATTTCGCATCCGCATTTTCTAACACTTCAACCGTTTGTATAACGTCAGAATTTGCCTAAACTCCCCAATATGTTAAAACCCTTGATCAGCTGTGATAGCTAGAGTAAATTAGATATTCTGATTAAGAATAAAATATACAGAAAATAATTACAGGCCTTCTCAAACCATAACGAGCAGTCAACTGTAGTGGATGTGAAACTGAATTCTCAGCTCAGGACTTGTGTCTTTATGAGTTGCTTAACTGCACTTCACAACTTTATTTTGCTATAATTTTTACCTCTCCAACTTCTCCTTGCACAATGCGAACAGGATCAGTCAGTGCTTCGCGGGCCAATTTCTCTACTTTACTTTTGAATGTCGCACTAAACATCAGACATTGTCGGTCGGGACGTATGTGATCCGATATAGACTGCACTTGCGCTTCTGAAAAAATATGTTGGATCAAGTTAACCTATGTTACATCAATCGTAAAATTTCTAAAAACAAAGTTTTCTTTTGTTGCAGCACATTAACAATTAAATTCTAAAAAAAAGTTGCTGGTCAATAGTCCAATAAAATTTGCATATCACGGAATTTATCACTATCGGGCTACTTTTACGATCTACCTAAAGTGATGTAGCATAAAAATTTTACAGAAAAAACAGCATATTAAACTGGTGATAACTGACCAAAGCCCATATCAAACATTCGATCAGCTTCATCAAACACCAGAAAAGTCACACGAGTAAAATTTGTTGCATTAATTTTCACTAAATCGATTATACGACCCTGTAAAAAATTCGCAATACTCGCGAATCAAAGAAAAATATTTTCATGATTAGCTTATATTAAAAGTTGCATTCTTCCTGAGCACCATACTTTTCCCTAAAAACATTTCAAAAATTAATTTCAATGTCTCTTTGTCGTATATTATAATATTCCAAAATACGGTATGAATATTATCATTTAAAACTACACATTATTTATTTATCTGTAGTTTGAAATATGATTTCTGAACAGAGACGGGATCGGCCGGAAACAACCAAAGTAAAAAAAAAATGCACAGAGAGAAGAGAAATAATCTATAAATTGTTACGAATATGGAATCAATTAGTTTAGAAACTACCGGTGTTGCAATGACTAATTCAGCTCCTTCGGTAAGTGCATTCTGTTGCTCCCATTTGTTTCCACCACCATAAGCACAAACAACATTAATGTTGTACACTTTGCAGTAGCGTTTAGCTTCTTGGTATACCTACAAACAAAAACATTAAGAAAAAGCATACAACTCAAAAAAATACAAAATAATGAAACTATTCATATTAAATTCATTGATTAAATCATAAAATCAAATAGCTCAAGACTTTATTGCAGCTTACTGTAGCCCACAAGCAATCACGGAATATTTCACCTGCAGTGCTAATTCTCGAGTTGGCACAATAACCAGGGAAATTGGCCCATCACCCTCCTTCAAATCTGGCTGATCCATAATGTGAATGATAGCTGGCCATAAATAAGCCACTGTTTTGCCACTACCTGTCTTGGCAATTCCCAAAACGTCCCGTCCACTTAATGCTGCCGGTATAGACTGAAATGTTTGTATTTTAATTTAATTACTAAACAAATTAAGTGCCCTTTAACCATATCCTTATTTGTTTACCAATCCAAAAAGAAGGAATGGAAAATAAATTTTTTAGCAGTGCGTCAAGATCAACAGAGAAAGAGCATCAATCTGTGATTTCTGCCACACTGCAAAATAATTTCTTTATCATCTACACTGTGTTTAACTAGAAATATGGCAATTGCAATAAAATCGCTATATTAATCTGCCATCATACTTTCAGAATGAAAAAAGAAGCAGAATTCTACTATCATAATGTTCTGCTGGCATAACGACAAATGCACCTGAGCTTGTATAGGAGTGGGATGTTCATATTCTGATTTCCGAATTACATTCATGAGTGCCTCATCGAAGCCAAAATGTGCAAATGCAGTGACCGGCTTTGGTGGATTAAAACCAGCTACTTTCAGGTTCAGACTGTTCCGTAATTCAAAAACTTTTATCGATGTCATCGATCTGGAACTTTCGGATTTTGATGAAATATTAAAAACTGAAACACAAAATGTTTTTACATATTATGAGATTTACTAACACTAGTCAAAGAATTAACCTTACTTTATTTGTTCATGTTCATGATAAAAATTTTTGTTGAATGGCGCATATTCCACTGTTGTATGGTCAATCGATTGAAGCGGATCGATCACTTTCTTCCATGTCCAAATAATATTACCATCTTCATCGTATTCATATATTTCATCTTCAAGTGTGTTTGTTTTATGTTCTTCCATAAATCTGGAACATTATTTTCTCGTTTTCGTAATCTATTCATAAAATTAATAAAGATGAACGAATGAAAATCCAGATTATCGCATTTCTAGATAAGTTAAACCTCTGAGTTGTCAAATTAATTGTAAAAACCTTGACTGTCAAGACCTCGATAAATTTTCATAAAATCAGATTTTCATTAAATCCTAAATATAAAAAACAAAAAAACAAAAATAAAATCAACTATTCACTTGAAATACGATTCTTGCATATCCTCCTCATCAATATCAGCTCGCCCAAGCCCTTTGTCTTTATCTTCCTCTAAAGTGGCACCTTTCTCTATTTTTACACACCGTTCTTTATCCTTTCTTTCACTTTCCGCCTTATCTTGTTTTGCCTGCAACAAAACAAAGTACAGTTTTTGAAGTCAACTCGGAATGTTGTGAGAACTGCAAAATTATTTAATAACTGTGACTTCAAAAAAAAACCTGTTAACATAATAAAAGCAGAGACAAGCTTTAAAAACCGGAGCTAACAGAAAGTCAAACAACTTTCGTCTTTTGCTTTTTCGGTATGACGGATTAATAAATAATTAATTAACTTAAGATAAAGAATTTTCTGTTAAGAGCAAAATGAAGGAAGTAGAAATAGTTGGGGAATGAGACCTGTTTATCAACTCCTGCCATAAAAGCATCTAATGGATCTTCCTCTTCGTCATCGTTAGCATCATCACTAGCGGATATTGCATTTGCTCCAGGACTTCCGGGCACAGGCTGATATTCTAATTCATCATCTGAATCCTTCTCCAAATACCTAAAGTATACGAAGCAATAAATCTGAAAACTTAATGATGAAAGCATATATCAGCTTCACACCAGGACGTACTGCTATCTGACTATTAGATGTGTAGTGCGATTGCAACCAAATTTAGGTTTAAATTCTTTTCATAATCTCATCGGAATTATGAAAATTAAATTGAAGTTCCCATATACAGCGAGCTGACCGATTTAATTTGGAGATGGCAAAGGTTATGCAGAAAGTGCCAATGAGTAGATAAGAATAACACAAAATCGTATAGACGCGAAGACGAAAAAAAAATTCGAAATCAAGGTTATATCTAGACCGAAATGCTTCAAGGTGACCACATATTATTTGATTTTGTTTTTTTTTTTTCTAAATAAAAAACGCTGCACCATCAATTTGCTTAGTGCCAACTTACTCGTCATCGTAGATTTTCTTCTTACGCGGTTCAGGCTTGCCAGTTGTGGATTTCCCACCGTTCGACATCAAAGCATCGTACTAACAACAAAAATACAAATCAAAATGCTCAATGGAAACCTAACTACCTATTAAATTGAAAGTAATTTTACGAAAATCTCGAATATTTTAATGTAACTTAAATAATAAAAATTGAAATACTTCAACAATATACCTGTTCTTCCTTCTTGCGTTCAAGATCTTTGGTGATAGCATCACTCGCAACAGCAGCAGCATTTGGAATTGTCAACTGAGCTGGTGGAGGTACAGCACCCATAAATCCTGAGGCAGTTGGAAAACGAATGGTTGGCTCGAAATCGGAAGGCTTGGAATATGCAAATCCTCTGCGCATGTCCTTCAAAAAAGGAAAAAAAATGCTTTACAAACTTGATCAAAAAGTATAATAGCTAAACTATTCTCATTATAACAGCAGCTATCAAATCTCTCCAAACTATCTCTTGCGAAATTATTTCTCAAACTATTTTAAGCTTCCGAAAATACCACTCAATCATCTTCAACATTATCCACAAATATTACAATTATGATTTTGCCTAAAACGACTAAACTAAACTAAGAAAAATTAAACTAAAATAAACACAATTAATCAATAAAAATTAAAATAGAAATAGTTTGAATAAAATATTTTCTTAAAACATACAAAATTTGCCATAATTCAGTTCTTTATGTGACCACCTAAAACTAATTCATGATTCTTATCAATACCTTAGAAGATTAATTGCTAATATTACACTGTATATTAGTCTTTACAACAATGGTATGTTATGGTATGACAAATTTCTCAACTACATAGAAATTCTCGAGTTCCCTGCGCTATTTAGGAATCCTCGGGTTCCCATAACTTTTTCCCAATCATTATTTTCGCGAAAAATATCACCCAATGATACCAACTGAGCAGAACCCTAAGCCAACAATCACGTAACGTGTATTGCGGTCCGATGGTCTGTGAAATTTGGGTTGTGAAGCTTTTAATGACGGTTGCGATGCGTTTAAAGCAGGATTGAGTGGTTGTGAAGTTAGGGTATTTGGGTAATAAGAATGGGCAAGGGTAAGCATTGGGTAATTTGGACATTTTGATAAGAAGAATAGATAATCAAATTGAACATTTATGAGAATCCTAACAAATTTGCTCATTTTGATTTTAGAGAATTTTGAGATTTAATTCAATGAATTAAATTGTTTTGTATTGCTCAACAGTACTTGATATTTTGCGAACTTTTTACATCTTTATTTTTTTATGTGTAAATTTGTGTTAACTTTAATCTTATGGACTATTATTTGTTAAGTAGCTTCTTTCTTTAAGTTTTCTTGTATTAAGTTTTCCAAAATGCTTTATTTGTTGCTAACCCTGCGTTTATATCTTTCACAAATTAGAACGAAACTTGTAATCAAAATGTGATAATATAGTTGCTGCTTAAATCTGAAGCATAATGAGATATATTTTTAGAAGTTCAACTTTAACAGTAGAGTAGTTAAGATTAGATTCTACAAATCACCAGCAATATTGTTGAAAGAAATGATTTAAAGACTGATTTATTGTTATGGAATTGTACCTTAATATTACGACATAATTCATTAAGTTAGTGAGCATTTTTCGTCAATAATTGATTTCAGTACCAAACTTAAAAATATATGTAATATGTATTTTGAGGTTGAGGTATAATTCTGTCTGTGTTCAATTCTTATTATATTGAAGTGCTTTTCTCTGAATAGTATTCAACATTCTAGTTTATTAAAGTAATAGATTTTTATTACATCTCTTTTCTATCATTATCACTGTTCCATCCTGACTGGGAATGCATGTTCAAAGGAATAACTTCACTCAGCTAAAAATTGATAAATGGATCAAACTGTAAAGTTAAAACTACTCGAGTCGTCATTGTTTCAACTGCTTGTCTTCTTATTAAATATTTTATTTGTAGTTAAAAGAAATAAAAAAAATGTGTGATCCAAATCGTTGGAAAGTAGAATTGGAAAAGGGAGATTGAGACTTAAATATTTTAATATTACAATTTCATTAAGTATATCAGTGTGTAAATTAACTGTTACAGTATTTCTATGATCTTTTACCTATTAAAAGAGCATACAAATATTCTGCATAATTTTATGCTTTATGGGTGTATTGGGAAAGGAAACTCTAATCACTATTCAGATGAAACTAATCACTTATTCAGATGATAGGATTATCTTTTAGATTAAAAGAGTTTGAATAATTAATTTAACCGAGTTTTTGTTTGGTCTTTAATGATAACGTTTTATTAATCATTTAAATCTTTGTTCATATTCAAATAATAGATGTGGATAATAGGATAGAAAGTTAGAATAGTATGAAAATATATGACAAGAAATTTCACCAATTTATGATATTGTTGTTGTTTATTCATTAAATCTTTAATTGCATCTGAACAGATTTTCACCAGTTTTGTATGCATTTATTGGTCATACATAAGCATTAATTTTCTCTTCAATGTTTTGTATCCATAATTTTAGTTGGAGAATTTTTTGAATTTGTTAAATTTGATATAACTATAATTATAGCAGATACAGTAACTCGTCTTTGTTGCTAAAAGTATTTGCTAGATAATTTAATCTGTGTTTTATGCAACAACAATCTCTTGAGTCATTTTTTCATTGATAAATCCAGCACATATTTGAGCTAGTTAATTGTATCAATAATGTTAGAATTTAACAAATAAGTGCATACGTATAGCTCCACGTACTCTCCTATTCTATTTTTCATTGGTAAATTGAAATTGCTATTGAAGCTGTTGAAGTTTACTTCATTTGAAGATGTGCTTTAAAAGTATTTGCAGCTTCACTTTGACGAAATATTTTACTCAATTTATCAAAAGAAGAAGCGAATATAAGTAACAGTTAAACACCGAAGAGAGTTCATCATTACGGGTTTCTGGATGTCGGTACAGACAGGATCAAAAGTGGATGGGGAAATTAGATCAGATCCAGGAGTTAGCACTTCTGCTACAGCAGTTTCTCGGCGACGGATCATCTATCGACCATTTTCAATAAATCCACAAACTTCAACAACTACTGTTACAGCAACCATAAGAGATACTCTAATAGCTGTTCGAGATGCAGTTGCTGCGTCTATCATGACTACTTCCTCATCCATTCTTCCAAGAATATCTACTAGTAATGCTGAGACAGCGTCCATAAATATTCACTCTTCTACTACTTCTACTTCTAATGTTTCACAACAACATACAGTTTGTTCGACCAATCCAGAAACGAACGTAACTACACCTACCATTAGTGCTATTAACAAAGTACCCCGTCGATGGGAGCAGTGGAACAGCTCAGAAATTAACGCATTTTTCGAAGGTATCAAAATGGTTAGTAGTTTTATGAGAAGAAGTTTTCATCTATAATCTGTTTGAATTATTTAGAGTTTCAAAAATTGTCGGGATCTTTCAGCACAAAGCGCTTTTTGCCAGTGCATATAAGCTTAATCGATCTCAAGATATGAAGCTTTTCCATCTAGAAGTTTTAACGATTTGAAACGCTTAACAGGGAGCAATATTTTACCAATCTGCTTTAAAATTTTTGGAACACATTAATACTTTTCATTGTGTTACGTAATCTTAACCGTTGCGGTCTGTTATCGTGTGGAAAAACTTCGGATGGATTTTATAAATTTTTTATGTTTAAATAACAATATTTGAACAATATGATTTTTTACTTTATTTGGGTAAGAAAGATCTACTATTTGGTATTATTTTTTGATTCATGGCTATCTCAGAAAGGTACTCATGAATCAAAAGAATTCATTTCCGATACTAAAATGTCGTGGCCCTGCCAGAACACAACAATTTCTGAAGCAGTGACCAACGTTGGATAATAGTTATGGTAGATGTTTCAAATTTGTAGTACGGAAAAGATTTCGAACAAATGGCAAAATTGATGGCACGAAGGAAGTTAAACAAAGACAAAGATCAAGTTCGTAATTACTATTTCAATTCGCTCAAATTGCTGAGATCTTCAACACGCATTGATGAAAGTTGGTTTTTTCTTAATTTAAATTTCTCTTGCATTTTCTCAAATTAGATTACACCACTGCGAAATTCTCAGCAGGTTTATTGTGTTCGGTGTCAAATACTGTGAAAAAGAATATTGATATAGCTATTGACATCTTCCAAAATGCCGAGAAGTTCTATATTCTCCACAGAAATTAGGTGCATATCCGAGAAGTCAGTTAGCAATAATAAGAGATCCCTTCCACATCTTTAATATTTTGGAAACTTCAGCTTTGATGGCAGGCATACCACGAGATGTTAAGGAGTTGTTTATTTTGATTAATGGATTTGAATGGAAAAGAAGAGTTTGTGGCAAGTTTGATCAAGTCAAATTTCAACAACTTGTCATGGAAGGGTTAGTGTACTTTATTTTAATTTTCAGATTTCTAATGGTTGAAATCCGAACTTTCAAGTCTTGTCTCTATTAATGGTCCATTCTCCCTCATACATTGTATTGAGCTCTAATAATTTCATATGTGTATAAACCGTGTAGCCCTTACAACTCTTTCTAAAAAGATGGAGTTGAAATACTGCTTTGGCTACTTTTGCTACATTATTCATTTTGAGATTATTATTAAATTTCTTTCTATTAAAAAAAAATTATTGTAATTTGTTAAACAAAATATAACATTATAAATTACCTAACACTATGAAGAATTTTGTTGGTTAAATTGCTTCGTTACAGATCAACGTATGAGAAGAAAAGAAAGAAAAAGCAACTGGTGTTAGTACGCACTCCAGTTTGTCCTTCTCTGCAAAAATTTTTTCCAAGTAGGCCGAAGTTTTTCTATGATCATTGATATTATTTAAATGGAAATCAGTCAGAAAGTCAAATCTCTTAGTGGAATTTCTCTGAACCTGAAATTGAGTTTTAACTTTTCAGTCGAGTTTTATTTTATTGTTTTTGAAAATGGGTACTATTCCATTGTTTATTATTTTTAGTGTAAATATATCTTATCTCTTTCCAGGCTGCAGTTCATCACCATTACCATCGCATATTTTTATATGTCTCACACCAAGAACTGAAGCTGATCGTTATTTTGTGGAACAACGTGGACAAAATCCTTTGATTAGGATCAGGGTTGCTATTGGCGATCAGCTTAGTCGTATTTTCTCATTTCTCAAGATAAAATGGAATTTGAGGATGCAAAAATTGGTAACATCCACTTTCAAATTATTTACATTTTTTTTTTTTCACATTTCAATTACTTTTGAAAATAATTGTGAAATGCACCACTTCCTGCCATGAGTTCACCGTGACTTGATGTTTGACTTAAAATTATTTCTTATAAAATTCGAGAAATGTGCTATCTTCATATTTTCTTTAGACACATTGTGATAAAATTTATTTAGCTTGGAAACATGTCAAAGGAAGAAGAGCAAGTGAAGGTGGTATTGTATCCGGATAAGACAACCCGTGTGGGGAAGATAATTGTGAATCTGTATGAGGCTACGCCAACGATATTTTCAATAAATAGGTAAATCCTTTTATATTCGTACTATATAAATTAGAGCATAAAGAACATGATTGAAAGAAAAAATTTCCCTAAATTTAGTCTCAGACCAATTAATAATTGCATTTGGAAAGTAGGCTCCTTTTAGTTTCATTCGTGACTTTTATTATTCTAAGACAAATTTATAACTTCATCTTTCTTTGGATGATAGGTTGAATATATATATATATATAATACTCAAATGGGAAATAAGCTTAGCTTTATTTTAAAATTTCAGTTTTAAGTTGTTTTTTCTTAGAACAATCTTTATTGCTTATATTTCCAGTAATATTGTTTTATGCTAAGGTTAGATATAATTTTAGGTTAATAAAAGAACTTCAACGAACAGGAACCATTGAGCAATGCAATGAATTGTCTAAACGTAGGAATGCAAATGTTGGCGAAGAAACATCTGCAGATGTAGACATGCCAAATGCAACAGAAGATGATGATGATGATGATGGACCGTTTACAATCAACGGAAACAAACTGCGTGGTGGACTTACTGAAAAAAACGTTTGCAAAGCTACTGTGACTGAATTATATTATTTGGTATGTAGTTATTAATTCGTTTCATTTTTTAAGAAAATTCAAGCAGTTGCTTCTACTTAACGCTAAATGATTCACAGGAATAATGAGCAATTTTCCTTTTAGTTACTTATTCATAAAACTTTGTGACGGTTAATTATGATTCTTGCAATTTGAGTGTGGGAAAGAGTCTGAAATCAAGCTTGTTTATTCGACGGGAATGAAGCGAATGGGCGATCCTGAGCCATGGCGTATTTTTCTTCATCTTTTAGATCGCGGTTATGGTGATAATCTTTGTAAGGTAGGCTATTGCTTTTGATTTTTTGATTTGATTTGTGAATAAATAATAACTCTCAGCTAGTTAATTTAAAATTTCTTCATCATTTCGTGTAGTCAGCCTTGATTTTCACTATGAAAACAAAATTTTAACGTAATGTCTTAAAATGATATACTGAAATAAATAATGAGGTTTAACATTGCAAACTGTTCTTTGCCAATCAGAAATAGGTGCTTCTTTCGAACTGAGGTGTATCCACCTCTCTCAAAAGAATTCTAACATTTTGCTGGATTTCTTAGTTTGAGAATTATATTTGCATAATTACTAATGTTTGAGAGTATTGCAGAAATAAAGTGAGAAACATGAATGTCATATTGTTGTACTAATATTTTTGCAGTCTCTTGCTGACCCTCAAAGGATAACAGAATCGAATGAATTTATAGAACAAAAATGGCAAGAAAGGATTAGAAAAAGATGTAAATCAGCAAATACTTTTTCGGAACAATCATCTGGCGGTCCAACTGCATCGGCTGAGATGATGGAAACAACTGAAGCTACTGCACATGAAATAGTAGAAGCAGAGAATAGTGCTTTTATGCAACAGCTTGAAAGTTTGAGGGTGAAAAAACGTGCTCGTCCATTTCATCAGCGTTTTCCTGGCAAAGTGAGTTTTCTGCAATTTATATAATTCCAATTCAAATAGTTATTTGAAATACTGGAGAGGTATTGATGTTTACTAGTTTCAATTTTTGTTCTGAATCTTTGTTTAGACTGCCTGTTATTAATTGTAAATGTTCTGCAGTCTAGGGTACACTCGCACAAATTATTAAATTGTGAAAAAGCGGCGTGATCTATCTAAATATTTTTTACTTTCCTTTTTTTGCAGAACAATGGGATCATACAGTCGGTTGCATTGAATCCGCCATCAGTTCATCCTATAGCAAATGCAGGTTATCAGTTGGCTGATCCTGTTTTGGGGTCTCAGAGTGAACGATCAGGTACAACGCAGTCTGATCAATTTGCTTTTTCTGCTAGTGATACAGCGAGATCAAATAGTGTTGCTGGTAAAACAAGATCTCGCGATGGTACTAGTAGGATCTGGTCTGATGTAGGAATTTCTGGTGGATTCAAGTCTGACGATAATTCCGATGGAATTAGGTCAGGAAATGAATACCTACTGCAGGAAACTAATGTTTCATCGCATCCAACACAAGTTCATCATGTGACGGATGGAAGATACCAGTTAGTTAATCCTGTATTTCTGGCTCACAAAGTAGCAACAACAACATCGTCAGTGCAATTTGTTCCTTCGTCCGGCAGTAATGTTCGTAGAGTTGAGCACAATAATAATAATTTCATGCAAGACACTAATATTCTGGTGTGTCCTGCGCAAGAAATGACAACAGTACAATATCAGATAGCTGGGTCTGTATTTATTCCCGAAAATACTCATTCAACATCAGGGCAATTTGTTCTTCCTGTTTCCAATACAGTTAATTCCGAAAATGAACACTTCATTCAAGAGAGCAATGTGGTTCAGAAGATTTTAACACCGACAGTAAATACTATCGAATCAAGTGAAGATTGTGATCGTAGCAGCATACCTTCATCACCATTGAAGGAGAGCAGCCTTCTAAGAGAATTGCACAGTGCTCCGTCAATGGACAAGTCGATAGAAGTGATGTTGCAAGAGAATAGTACTGAATGTTATCGTTTTGTTGAACAGTTTGCTTCAACTATGAATTCTCGATCAAATGTTGTTAGCAATTCAATTAATGCGGAAAGCGAGATAACTCGTATCGCACAACAGCTTGCTCAGTCTGCAGGAGATGCACTTAGATCCATCGATAGTAGTAGTAGTAGTAGTAGTAGTAGTGGTAGTGGTAATAGTAATGGTAGAGTGAGGTCTGATGATGATAATGGTTCAGTTATTTCTGTTGGTACTACGAATGTGACTAAATCATCCAAAAATAATACTCTCAAAATGAAGTCCTGTGATCATAAAGAAGAAATGCAAAGACTTTGATGTTCTCTATTGTTTTGGTTTTCAATTTTTATTTGCTTAAAATAGTTTTTAGAATAGGGAAGGTGCAACAAACCTGAACTTTACTTTTTCATTACTTTGAAGAAGTTTGAATTCTTTGAGCTTTCTTCACGTTCTGCTCATCTTGTTTCTGTTTTCATTTCTTATTTTGATATTTTTTTTTCTTGTTATTTAATTAGTTTTTAAAAAAAAGCAGGGTGGAATATGCCGCATTGTTCTCAACTTAATGTGTTTTTTTTTCGATATCGAGGTTGGATCTTCTGGAAGAATTCCAGAGATTTTTAATAGGATTCAATGAAATTTTAGATGTGCTGAGCAGTAGCTGTAGTAGTTCAGTGTGGAAAATCTATAATTGCTTTGTTGTTTTTATATTATCTTGGTGTTTTACCCAATTGAGCTGTTGAAAGAACTCAGTGAGATATTAGGAATCTTAAATAATTATCTTTAAAAATTATATCCTTGTTCCGTATATTGTTTATACTAATTGAAGGAAAAGGTGAATTTTTGACTAAAATTCTTTGAGAGAACATTCCCCAAAAAAGTTTTGGTTGTTTTTATGGTTTGTTTTGCAATTTTGAGGACATTTCGTTTCATTTCTTGATTAAACTGCCAAAATTTTATTTCTTGCTTCTAAAAGGTTTGATACCACAATGTTTTAACGCTCATTGTTCGTAAGAAATTTTAGTAACAATGACATTACTACTGAGAACAGAATTGCACAAAATCTAATTCGAAAATTTCAATTTAATCTATTATTATTTCTGACAAGAAGTTTTTCTACATCTGATCACTTATGCATTTAGTTCTTTCGCGTCTGAGTTATTGTGAAACATTTGGGAAGGGTTTTAAAAAAAAAGCCGTGTAAATGATTTGTAAAGTTATAGTGTAAAGCTTGTTTGTTTTTATTTTCATGTATGGAATTTTTGTATTATATCAATAAAATTTGTTGAAAATTTTTGTTAGATGATCGTATTCTGTCGAATGGGATAAAGTCCATCGAAGTTATTTTAGAAAATAAACTGCCAATAGGATATTCCTAAAAATTTCAGTCAAAACGGTTAAACATTGTATTGTATCTAGTAAGAAGAATTACAATTACTACTATCCTGTACAAATACTCTCCGAAGTATGATCTGATAACTGTTATCCAGACGCCTGATACATCTTATCAAGCATGTAATTACATCACGTTTCAGTATTGTTCAAGATTACCTGAGAGGTTCAGTTGGAAAGAGTTTTTCCCATTGTAGAAAGTTCAATATCATTTTATTTTGTGGATTATTTTTCGAAACGTAGATTTGACATAATTTTCAGCTTAATGGCGTCTAGACGAGGTGTTATAGTGTTACTTCGTTCTTTGCATCGTCGTCCATATTTTGTGTCACCATCATGCAGTATTGCATCTACGGGTCATCTATTTCACACAACTCGATCAATCGCTAAGCAGACAGCAGCTGAAACTTTTGAATTTCAGGCAGAAACAAAGAATTTGTTGGATATTGTTGCAAAATCACTCTATTCGGACCAAGAGGTTTGAATGAGTCATTAAAAAACCTTGAATGAGCGGTTATTTGTAATTTTTGTAAACAGTTAAATCTTCTTGCTCTGTATTTCGGATTGAATAGTCTTTGGGATCTGTCCTCTCTTCAATGCGACCAAAATTTCTTATATATCGATTTTCAAGGTTTTTATCCGGGAATTAATATCAAATGCAAGCGATGCTCTGGAGAAGAGGCGATGCAAACATTTGGAAACCAATAAAGATACAAATATTGCTTATGAAATTAAAATAACCACGGATGAAGATGCACGGTTGATTATTTTCGAAGATAATGGGATTGGAATGGATAAGGAAGATTTAGTGAACTGCTTGGGTACCATAGCTAAATCAGGTGCAATTTTCTTTAGGGTTCTTTTGTTTCCTCCGAATGCTTGTATTTACCTGATGCCCTGCTTTCTTTCCTTTTTATCTTCCTATTAATATCTTTCTATGGTGTTATATGATTCGGAAAATTTTTTTAGTCCCTGAAAACGTATTAGGCGTTGACACCTCATGAAAAATTTGGATTTTGTTTTGTGTGTTAAAAACATACAAATTTCCAACTAACAATTCTTTATATTTGATGGAAATGACATAGTTTGAGAAGGAACTGAGAAATTCTTTTTTTTTTTTTTTTGCAATTTTGAGTAGAAGACAAGATGATATTATTGCAGTGTAAAATCAGCACAAATTAAGCTTTCCAAGCCACATTTTCTATTCAGTGGTGCTGTCTTGTAATGAATTAATTTATATTAGATGGAGCAGTCTATCCTTCCATGTTGATTCCACTATATTTTTTCTATTCAGGCTCAAAGAAATTCATAGAAGAGCAATCTTCGCTGAACCGTGCATCTACTGAAAGTATTATTGGACAGTTCGGCGTCGGTTTTTATTCAGCATTCATGGTTGCAACTAATGTTGTAGTGAAAACACGCAAAGAAGATAGCGACAAAGGTTATTTGTGGAAGTGGAATGGGTATGTTTGAATAACGCATTTTGCATGGATCCTTAAAGAGCATTCAAAAGCTCATTTCTTTTCTGGGATAAAATATAATTTGAGTTATCTTGCTGACTTTCATATATTGACGAATTTAAAAATAGGTAACAGTAAATCTTCTAGAGGTGATGCGTATTCAGTGGAAGAAATCGATTCGTTACCTGTTGGTTCACGTATTGAAGTTACCCTTCGTCCGGATAATGCAGCGGAATTTGCAAAAAAAGATAAGGTTGTGGAGGTAATCAGCAAATATTCCTATTTTATCACTCTACCGATCACGGTGAATGGAGAACGGGTGAATACCGTGGACGCAATTTGGACAATGAATCCGAAGGAAGTAACTTCGGAAATGCATGATACCTTTTTTCGACAACTCGCCAAAACACATTTACCTCATCTAGTAAATGATCGACCACAATATACTATTCATTATAAGGTTACTGAATTTATTTAGTCAGATTTAATTAATGGTTGAATCATATCTAGATAGACAAGTTTTTTTTTTGTAATTATGCTGTATGCTAAATGTTTGCTTCGTCACCATGGTGATATAAAAACACCAATCCATTGGCCATAGGTACTGATGGCACAGTTAACTATAAGCTGTATGCACAAAGGTCCCTATAAAGGTTTTTTTTTTTTCGATTGCCTACAAGCAAATCAACATGGCTAGTTCAGAAATTCCAGCAATTTGAAAAATTCTTATTGTTAATTTTGGATTCAAAATCGAAGCACATACATGTTGTAGGCAGATGCTCCGATAAACATCAGATCTTTGCTGTATGTTCCATCTCACAATGTGTCGCAACTTGAGTTTGCCAATTCTGCCGATCAGTCAGGAGTGTCTCTTTATGCACGAAGAGTCCTTATAAAGGTTTCTTTTTGATTACTTATGATTGAATAAACAGTTTATTTTTTATGTGCATTTGCAAGTGACAATGCTCTGCAGTTGTGTTATGTATTCACCAAAAAATCAGTATAAAAAAGTTTAAAAATTTCAACAATTTTAGCAGTAAATAAAAAACTATTTTATTTTGAAAAGAAATAATGGAAAAATTTACTAATTGAATAAGCTTTATCAATTTATCATATGTTTTTCATTTCAGTCAAACGCCAAAGATCTTTTACCGCGATATTTACGTTTTCTAGTTGGTGTAGTCGATTCGGAAGATATTCCATTGAATTTAAGTCGTGAAATGTTGCAGATGGATGCTGTTCTTGTGTAATATCTTTTTTTCATTTATCGTGACGTCTAACTTTTGCAGATAATTGTCTTAGTAATATGGAAAAGAAAAAAAGCAATGTAAAGATTTATATGTAACCTTTATTGATACCTCAGAATTGCTGACCTTTGCAGAAGTTAACAATAAAACCAAAAAAAAATATATATATATATATATATAAGATCAAAAAAAATATGTACAATGCATCTATATAGTGAACTTGTTAGAAATTCTCTGTTTTTTTTTCAACAGTAACTATGGGACAAATTGATGCAGCTAAACTGATGGAATAATTTGAGAAATATATTTGTTATCGACGTACTTTACTTTATCAGTTTCATTTGAATAAGCGATATTGCTTTAGATAACATTTGAAAATAGCCTTTGAAATTATTGTTAATTACAAATTATTCAGGAAGTTGCGCCAAATTTTAACCGACAAAGTGGTGTCATATTTTGTAAGTGAAATGAAAAAAGATCGAATAAAATACAAGGAATTTTACAGTGGTTATTCTTTATATTTTAAGGAGGGTATTTGTACCGAAACTGACCAGAACATTAAGGTTAGTTTACATCCATTTTAATTAACACACATACAGTTTATCTTCATTGTATTTTTGATCTGGTTTCCTTTGAAAGTTGTAGCGTGGTATTATACTTTTTCTTATAAAAAAAAACAGATTAAATTAATTAGTTTTGTCGAAATGTTAATTTTGCATTTGAATAGGATTCTTGCTTTTTGCACAATATCAACTTGTTTCATAAGGAAACTTTCAGGATTAAATTACTTTATAAATTACTTTATGTATTTTAAATTTCTAAACATTTTGGGTTTTTCTGTAAAGAAAAATGCGTTGCTAAAAAATGAAATGAAATTATGTCAACTCTTATCAAGTGCTCATTTCATATGTCTCCAAATAGTTTGAGTCAATTAAATGCAGTTTTAGGAACAGATTGGTTCGCTGTTGTTGTTTGAGTCATCAGCTCTCAAAGCTGGAACTTTAACTAGCTTAGATGAATATGTAGACCGAATGCAAAAGGATCAGAATGAAATTTATTACTTATTTGCTCCGAGGTGAATTTTTTAAATTATGCCGTTGGTTTTTCTTTATTCAGTTTTTTTTTTTTTTTTTTTGAAGTATTCAGAAAATTTGAGGAGATGATTTCTACAAAAACATTTCGTTGCAAGCTAGAATATGCGAACGAAGTGGTATTTCCCAGTGATTTTCAGATAAATTCACTATCATAAGTTCATAGGGAGTGAAATCCATACAGTCATAATTACCTTTTTTTATCAGTCGTCATCTTGCGGAACATTCTCCCTACTATGAAATGTTCAAATCAGCGAACAAGGAAGTTCTTTTTGCATATGATGCTGCCGATGAAGTTTGTTTACTGGCTATGCAGCAGTTCCGTATGAAGTCAGTTAAGTCAGCGGAAAATTGGACTCGTGTTGAAACCGATGGTGACACTCAGACTGCAAGTAAATATTATAATTTTAACTGTATTTCAAAAAATTGAGGACCAAAATGTTTCTTTATCCTTTAATGGTTTGCTTAGTTCTATGTACTTTGTATTACTAATCAGTAAAATTTACTCTATATTTTCTTTAATAAATTTTAAGTTTGTAATGAAATTTTAATTTATTCCTGAAACAATTTCTTTTTCCAATTAAGTATGCCGATGTTTTTTGTTATTCATAATTTGAAGCGCCAAATAAGAACTGAATTATGGTGATTAATGGTAATCAAAAGCTCTACAAATTAACTGAAATTTTTTTGTAGCAATAACAATACGCGATGCTGACAAGAAAGAATTGCTTGAATGGTTAAAAACTACTTTGGGAAGCATGAAAGTCGATGAAATAAAGGTATCCATGTTTCAAATTGTTAATAAATTTGTCGGTGGAATAAATATGGATTAAATTGAATGATTGTACTAAATTACTTTCTTGTGACTAGTATGTAGGTATAATTGGTTACCACTTCTCTACCAGAATGAATGCTGGACTGAATGTAGTAGTTAATCTCGACGTTGCAATATATTAAAACTATGACTAGATTAGTTATAATTTGAAGTGTCAAATAAGAACTCAAATAAAATTTCATTGTTAAACTTATGGTGACTATCATTATGATAGTCAAAAAGTTTACCTTATTTTATTTATTATCCAAATAGATCGGAAAGTATTTAGAGAAGAAAAGTTTCTTTTCTAATATAACGAACAAAATTTTTATTCCTGCATTGCAGAGCTCGAATATAACAAGTGAACATCCATGTATGATCACAATTGGTGCAGAAATGGGTGCTGCTCGTCATTTTCTTCGTGTTGGACAGGTGAAAGATATTGAGCATTTGGCTTTCTTGAAGCCAACTCTTCATATTAACTTAAATCATCCAATTATCAGTGCACTAATCAAGCTACATAAATCAGAACCGGCATTAGCTGGTCTTGTCGCTGAACAGGTACTAATGTGTTTTTTATTTTTATTGTATTGGCAGTAAAAATTGCTTTTGAATTTTTTGAAATTGAAATATTTTAAAGACGTAAGTGTGATGCTGTTGGTAATAAACTAGTTTTGAATTTTGCAATTTGACAGCAATTACGTGCTTGATTTTTTGCTATTATGTATCTCCGTCAGCTACGGATGTCTAGTACCCGTTCAATCTTGTCTAGATGCAGAACTTCCAAGTTATCAGCAAAGCCATCTCATAATTTCTTCGGAAAAAATATTCTGCAACAAATATCTTTCTTACTGGAATTAGATGCTTACCATGTAGTACGCAACTGCGCTGCTAGCAGGAAACATGATGCAAGGAATATCTTACGTCTCATATTCTAAATTTTTATTTTGTAGTGATTTATAATCTGTAAATATTAAGTTTGGTAGAGATTTTTCCATATTTCCAGAATAAAATAAAAACATGTTTTTCCGATTTGCAGATCTATGACAATGCATTGATAACTTGCGGATTGTTGAAAGATTCATCAAAAATGATCGATCGAGTTAATCGACTGCTAAGCGAGCTGTTGAAGCCTAAGTCATCGATACTTACGCCTTGATTTTTTTTTTTCTGTTATAGTTATTTGTTACTTCGGTTTATTTGAGTCACACGGACAATACCTTGCAGTGAATGACTGGGAAGGTTTGATAAGTAACATTTTTTGAAGTGAGATATTGTCAATTTTGAGCTTAAAAAGCCAAAATAGGAACATGATGAGTTTGCTTCTCAATGCATATGAAATTCTAGCTAAAATAGAGAGTATTTGTTAGAATGAGATTTTTTTTTTTTTTTTTGTTAAATGCTGTGAAGTTGATTGCAATATATCTGTGCTATTCATATTGATGTCTTGTGTCACCTGTTAACTGAATAAAAATTGCCGAAAATAGAAAGTTTTACATTATGTAGGGGATTCAGATTCCAGATAGTATTCTGTTACATTCTTTCTGAGGCATTTATCAGCTCCCTTTATATCTAGTAATCTAATCCACATTACCGATATAGATTGCTGGAAAGATGCAGGCACTTCTGCAAGCATACGAGGATATGCCTCCTGTAACGAGGATTTATACGACCTCATGTGTCTTAACTACACTTGCAGTGGTAAGTGTACGGATTACTGATTGCAGCTTTTATTAGCTGGAACATTTTCTGACAATTTATCTTACGTTAAAATCCATTCAAATTTTGTCACTTTTAGTTGGTTCATTTATTACTAAATTGACGTATTACTTCTTGTCGATAATTCTAATTGTAGTGTGATATTCTCTATTCTTTCTTTTATGGTTTTCTTTCGCTTTAACTTGTAATGTAGCATTTTCTAATCACACACATCACTTTTGACTTTAAGTGCAAAAAAAGACATTACAAAATTTCAATATTTTAACTCAAAGTTTATCCCTTATACTGTACGGCTATGCAGTAAATTATAGTTGCTTTTTTTTTTCAGCAGTTGGATTTCGTTACGCCATTTCACTTATATTTTAATTGGAATTTAATTATTTACGATTATCAGGTGAGTAATAATGTAATATGATTTACTTATATCCACAGGTTCCTTAAGTACTCTTTGTTTAAATAGTATGGTTAAAAAAGGAGCAGAAATTATTTGTTATCGATCAGTAAGTGTGGATTCATTGACAAATTATTACTTGCCATTGCATCTAATGTCTAAACTTAGTGAAGTATTTGACTGAATTTTCAACTTTTTTCGCTTATAAAATTTCTTCCAGTTTTGGCGATTGTTGACATCGTTTTGTTTTTTTGGTTCGTTTGGGTTTAGTTTCTTGTTCAATATGATTTTTACATATCGATATTGTATGATGCTCGAAGAAGGCTCATTTCGTGGACGACGTGCTGACTTTGCCTTTATGTTCATCTTTGGCGCAATTTTTATGGTAATACATTTTATACATTTGCCTCTTTAAGCTTGGGTCTATTTTTATTACAGTATCTCTCTATAGTATGTTTTTAATATATTTTGTTTTTAAATATATTAAACAAGTAAGAACATATTATTCTTCTGGTTAGATTCATGAAGATTTTTATGATTTTCTGTATCTCGCATTACCATAGTTTGGGAAGTTTCAAATAGTACAAATGTTTGAGTGAAATTTCAGAGTGTATTATTTGTAGTGGATGTTTAGCTCAGGTAATTGACATCATTTAGTAATCAATTGGTATTCTTTCTTATAGAATTATCTATTATAATTAAGTACAGTTTTCTATGCCGTCTTTCTCCATTTAGTCAGTTTGAAATTGACTGTTTTAATGGTTTGTCTTAAAAGTTTAGAATAGCCAGTTACTTAGGAAGTACTACGTTCTGAAAATCATTTTCTTACTAGTTCGGATCTTATTAATCTAAGCATTCGTGTTAGGAAAGACAAAACATTGTTTCCTATCTCTTCTTTTAAGTACATATTTTAAGTATTTATTTTTTTATGAATCCGAATCTGTTTATTATGTTTTAGATTATTTGCGGTACTTTTGTACATATGGTATTTCTTGGACAAGCTTTTACCATTATGCTTGTTTATGTCTGGAGTAGACGGAATCCATATGTACGCATGAATTTTTTCGGTGTTCTCAGCTTTAATGCTCCCTATTTGCCATGGGTTCTGCTTTTATTCTCACTGCTTCTCGGTAACAATGCTATCGTTGATTTCATGGGTGAGTTAAATTCAAATAATTTGGTACATTTTGTCGCTAAATTTAAAAATTCTTTTGGGAAATTGCCTGCAAATTTTAGTGTTTTGTTTTTGATTCTTAACTTCAATCAGTTTTATGATCACTTTGGAATATCAGCTCATTTGTTTCTTTACTATTGTTTCTTTACCAATTTCTTTACCACAAAATGAATTGTTCATCATATACAATTTAGACCAACAATTTTAATATAAAATAATCGTTTTGATCACTCACCAGATCTTACCAGTCATCTTTGAAACGGATTTTTAGCGGTCTTATGTCTAAAGGACTGATATAACTTTATGCTTGTTTTACTTCATTTACTTCAGTCAATTTATGATAGTAAACTTCGTCGTCATTTTACTGGTCGGATATTTTCATATTTGCAGGAATAGCATGTGGTCATTTCTATTTCTTTCTGGAAGATGTGTTTCCGTTGCAACAGAACGGTTTTCGTGTTCTCCAAACACCTAACATATTAAAATGGCTACTAGATCCAGTTCCTGTTGAACCCGTTGATATAAATGAACGACCTGGAGGTTACAATTGGGGTGAACAACCACCTAGACCAGAATAGGTCCATAATCTGTCCTGTTATTGTTATTGTATTTCTCTTAAGGGAATTAGTACATGCATGAAGTTTCCTACAAATGTAGTTTGAGATATTTAGTGATATTCTTTTGTTTGCATTTTTCACATCTTTTAAAAAGTTGTGACATTACTGGCTCCTACTCGTTTACCTCTTAGATTGAATATATCAAATCATTTATTTGGTGAGATTTATGATTATTGTTAAGTCTACTTATGACGATAGATTTGTGAAAATGTCCGAATAGAGACATATCCAGCTGTTTTTCTTTACTTTCTCTATCGCTTTTTTTATATGCTGTGATATGACCTTGAAATTTAAACATTGTTTGTTTGTTGTATACTTTTTTTTTCCTTTTTTTTTGGAAATACAGCCGATATGTAATAGGTTTTTTTTTTTTTTTTGAATTGGGTGCATTATGTTTATTATGAGTGAGTACATTACATGATACATTTTAATTTATACTGTTTGTAAATTGGTGATTTCGCTTCGTTACATAATATAGCGGCTAACATATCACACAAGTAGTAATTGCTGACCTTTTCAATGTCATACTGCAGTTAAAATTAGAAAGATTTCATAGATATCATACAAAGTTATGCAAACTTATAACAGATCTTAATATTTTTTTTCCTTTTTTTAACGAAAACTTTTTAAGGTATCTATTACAGATTTCGGAGTGCAAAATTTGATAAAGGAAAGGATACTTTTTATAAAAAAATACAGTAATACTGATAATTAAAAAGTATAACAATTCTACATAAAGTGATATTTATTAACTATCATGCAGTCTCATGACTCTAGGTAAAAAGATTTATTTTTTTTTTTTTTTAGCCATAGAAATATCTCCAATCCTACAGATTAGCTTTGTTCAATCTCTCTGTTAAGTATGAATCATCGCCTATTTTACGTATATCAAATTATTATTATCACAGATTGATTATACGTTACTAAATTTTAAGTACTGCATAACAGAATATTCTCACATGATTGATTCTATTCAGTCACGTCACTCTCTTTAATTCCACTCATTCCCTTTTTAGGTCCTACCATACATACATTTTCTAGCTAGGATTTAACGAAGTGTCGCATGACGTGTAACATCCTTATTTTCACAAACTGGTTTAATATGTGACACGATTAATGCATTAATACGAGTGGTATCATGCTCATTACGCTTTCTTAAATTGCGATATTGGCGCCACAGTTAAGAGTATTAATTTTGAAGTGATACTTTTATGCGATTACATTAATTTTATAACGGTAATTTTGTCAACTCTGAGATAAGATAGTAGTAATTAATTTAATAGTAATTAATGTGATACATTATGATAAGGAAATAGTTTTACTCAGTAATTGGATTGGGTATTTTTTTTTTTTTTCAGATAATAAAGTAATGTGTGCTGTGTGACTTAAGCATTCACTAGTCAGCGGTATGACGCTAAATGTGCTAACACATCAAAAGGATATTCTATCTGCTTACGATGTTATACTGAAATCAACAAGCTGTAACCATTGGTCAGTTTAATTCGTTTCGTTCGCTTATTTACATAGGTGTTCAACTTCAAATGGCAATTTGGATACTTTTGAACTTTATTGATTATGTGTTATATATTTAAACACTCTAAAGTCATGTTTGAATTTGGAATTCATTTGAAATTTTTGCATGAAATTCTAAATGTATATGTGCATATGAAGTGTAATACTTCTTGTCGTACATTGTAATATTGTATTACACTTTTTTATTTTTCTCACGCATTATCATTTTGTTTTCATTATAGCTCTTGTAGATAGTGTTAACGTTTTTGACGTTACCTGAAAGGTTGACTAATTAATTATTTTGATAATCTTTGAAAATATATAATGGGAAAAAAAAATCTTCGGAGATATTTTTTTTTTTTTTGTTTTATTTTTAGGAGTTGTGATTTCAGGGTGATTCTGGAATACGAAAACAATTCGAATATCATTAAAGTGGCAGATACTGGTGGTACATTTTGAATATTGATTAATAATAATAATTGTTTGACAGTTTGCTATAGTGATCCTTTGAATGTGATTGAGCAGGTCTGTCTGTATATAGGTTTATGTATCAAATCTTTTTTTTTTTTTTTTTTTTGTAAATAATTCTTTGAACAGATGGCGGTATGGAAGAATTGTCGACGAGCTTTACGGCCGGAAGATTGCAGTATGGCATCGGAGCTGTTAGATGGGGTGCTTCAGCAAGTGCAAAAATTGTCCTTATTCAGTGGGTAAGATTTTTCATCTGGTTAATTTGACTTCTGGAATGCTTCATCCGCAATTTCTATATGTCAAAAAAAAAAAAAAATACGGACTTCTAAATTTAAAAAGCTGAGGTTTGGTAGCAAATTTCTGTGAAATATATTTCCAAGTTTCAGCATATTTAGTTTTTTAATTTTAATGTTTATGCGTACCGATGAAAGTGTATGACATTAGTATGTTTCAGCAGGGCGAAGGTGTACCATCGTCGCGTTTAGTTACAACCGCTAATCATGGCAGTGAATTGAAACGATTCTTGCGTGGCATACATGTGGTATGTTCTTAAAATGAAAATGGATACGAACGTCTGTAGGTATTTGTGGTATTTTATTATGAATTATCCTTACTTAAGCTTTTTATGAATGCAACTGCCGAGGATCTGTTAGCTACTTTTTTGATTCTTATAGTTTTTACAGCAGGTTAAATGATACTTAGAAGCACTCAAATTAGTTCATTGCCAACATTTTAATTATCTCCTTCGTTGTTTTGTTGAGAGTACTTTAGATTCTAATTGCTCGAAACGAAGAAGATGTTGATATGGAAAGCATATTGCGTGTAGTTAGCAGATTGCCAGGTGTGAATGAAACTGTGCCAACTTTGACTGAAATTTCGGAGTTCACACAACCAAAGGCAGTTGGGACTACCTATCAACCTGTGAAACCTAAAAAGTCCATCCTCATTTCTCCTGCATATTATCTTTTTTCCAAATTTATAACATTTTGATATGAAAGTTTCGTGTAAAAGATCTATCATAAAAAGAAAACTATTTTAATAGGCACCCAAAATTTCCACTTTTTGTTTACTTGGTACTACTGCTAAGTGATAAACTAGTTTGATTATTGGTTTCTTTTAAAAAAAATTATGTTTTTATTTGCTGTTTAGATCATGAGCAATTATTTCATTTTTTTCTTTTTTCAGTTAACTTGTTATAGTGACTTCTATTCTTATCTTATAGTCTTTAGTGCTATCTTAATGTCTCACATTATTCCATATAGTTTGAACTTGTTCACACAGTGTGATTCACATGGTCTTTCTTGTTGCAGTGAAATCGATACAGTCAGCCGAGAAAAATTCTGGAAAGAAGTAAGGGCTCAGGAGAATGATCGAATTGCGGAAGAAAGGAAGCGAGAAAGGGAAAAGAATGAAATGGCTCTTCGTGAAAGAAGTGAGCTAAGTGAAAGGATACATGCCCAACTTTGTTCAGAAGAAAAAGCTAAAAAAGTGAATGAATCTTCAAGCTCAACTATATGTTAGTTTATTTAGTAAAATTTCAAATATTTTAGTTGCTGAAAATTTTTTTGAGATAATTTAGGTGCAAACATAATGAAAAATTTTTTATTTGCAAACTATTCAGATCTCATAACGCCATCGTTATTCATTTTAAATTTGGAGCTTGAGGTGTTATTTCACATTTCATTGCATTAGGATGTGTGAGAGAAATACTGCAGAAATGTGATTTTAATCTATAGTGAAGAGTAAATGATTAACATTCATTATTGTTTGATTTCAAAATTGCTTGTTTCAGATGAAAAAGATATAATTCGAGCGAATGATTTAGTACAGGTTAAAGGAACTTTGTGCGAGAAGGTATCCAATGAACCACAACTATGTGTTGTAGAATCTCCTAAAACATTACAAGTGATTAGGGAGCAGACAGCAGAAAAAGCTTCAGGATGCACTTCAACTAATGAAGGGAATGCTGATATTATCGAAGAAAATGAGAACAAATCACAGCAAAGGAGGAGTGAGCAGGAAGTTGGATTAAAAAGTTCTGTTATTTATCAAACGAATAAAAATTTCATCCAAGAAGATACATTGCAGAAAACTGAAAGTGAAGTAATCCGAGTAATGGAAGATACAAAATCGTCACATGGAAGGAGTGCTATAGCTCTGTGGGATTATCAGGCTGGTAAGTTTAAATTTTTTAACAAGTATTGAGCAGATGAGGTTTGCTTAATATAAATGTGTTGTGGGGAATCAGTAGTCCATGTATTTTTTTCGTTTTTAATTTGGCAAATACTGTCATATAATGATCAAGTCTCATTAGTTGTAAACTTATAAAGTTGGAATTTAAATAAATAAATAAACTGTGAACTAATTTTTGGCTTTTAGCTGACGAAACTGAGATTTCATTCAATCCGGATGATATTATTACGGAAGTGGATCAAATTGATGAAGGTTGGTGGCATGGTCGAGCTCCAGATGGTAAATATGGACTGTTTCCCGCTAATTACGTCAGTCTATTATGAACAATTGAAAGATTTCCAGTCCTTTCATCTAAAATTCCATTTTTTCTAAAGAACTTTTGACTCAAAATGTGATATTTCATTTACTAGTCCTTCATATATTACACAGAATATTGTTATAGCCTAGAATGTATTGCTATAAAAGTTCTGTAGTTTAGTAATTGTGGTTAGTTTTTTTTTTCTCCTTTAATGACTAGTATTTATGATTAGTTTAAGAAGTCAATTATAAATTGATTTTAAAAATAGAAGTAGTCATTCGTTTGCTCATTTCTTTTTCAGAGTTCGTTTTGTCTACTCTATCTGTATCCATTTTCTGTCTTCCAGTAAAAATTTTCCCTTTTTGTGTATGCAAGTTATTAATTTATTGAGTAATATAATTTCGAGTAGGTATTTCTGTTCCAAAATTCCTTTCCTATGCAGTGATTCAGCTTGGATCATTATCATCTTTCTCTTTTCAACCTTTAAAACTTTTTTTTTAAATCACTTTGCATATTTTTTTCTAGTTGTATTCAATAATTCGTTACTGCTGGTGATTTCTTTTCCTTTTCGTTTGTTAATCAGTTATCTTTTTTAAGGAATATTTCTGTTTTTTTCATATTTATTCATGCTTACATTATATCGAAAACATAAGAATGCAAGTATATTCTCAGTAAGATATTTTGGTTCATTTGTTTGTGTAAAATTATCATTAATGGAATAAATATGTGTTATTCATATGAATTTCTGAAATTGATTACCACTTTTACATTTATTTCTTGAATACTGAGTCTGCTTTGTCATGTCCTCTATTCAATTACCTTAAAATGCTCTTTCCGTTCTGTGATTTTTAAACTCTGTACAGTGCAACATTATTCATTTTCTGTAAATTTGCTATTTTCATTGCTCTCATTCCTCATTTTGAAATTTATTGATATTCTATTTGATAATATTTAATAAATATGAGATGAGATTTTTGTTCTCGACCGAGTTTTGAATTTTTTTATATTAGTATCATAGCTCAACATTCTCGTAATCCTCGTTACTCTATTGGTAATATGCCATCGAAAAGTTTAAATAACAAAAAACTCAACTGTATGAATGGGTTAGTGCTTGTGTTTGTTTGTTTGTTTGTTATTTCAACCATTTGAAGAATATTCGTAAAGCGCAAAGTTCAATTAAACTTTAGTCGGTTCGGTTTTTTTTTTTTTAAATCACTTCTCTTGTTCGTAATTCACTTCTTACCATTCCTCCAATACACGATTTACAAGTGCGAGGACAAGACTTGTTGTAATGAATTTTAAAATTTAAAACTAAATAAATGTGAAGAAAAGAAATACAAAAAAAAAGTTAAATGAATGATAGCTGATACAACGGTAGCTTATGATTGCTACGCAAGCATAATTAATTTTTAGATAATTTAATCTTTCTAATGTAATATCTATAATATCAATAAAATGATAATACTAAAACTAAGAGATTTTTCAAATTTATTATTCAAATATTCTAGCCATTTATCAATTTATATCAATAAATATTCATCTTCCTTAGAAATAGATATGTCAATAAGATAGTAATAATAATTATTGATACAATACATTCTATTATTTGTAACATTAATACAACAAATTAATTTTAAAATGACATAAATAATCAATAAAATATAAACAATTATTGTAATAAATTATTAAAATAACAAAAATATTATAATGATTGATAGATACATACATACCATAATTGTTCAATCATTGCTTTTATTAATTGTATTGATGCATTCATCTCATTCTGTGATATTTCAAAATGTCCTCTTTATTTTCATTGGAGAAATTTGTAGAAGATGTATGTATATATGATGTACACACACATATATATATATACAGAATAGAAGAAGAGAAAAATTGAAATTGTTAACTGTGTGTGTGAAATTGAGAGGAACAACGATAACCCAAAAAGGACTAACGACGAAGCGCAGTTTGTCAAATGACAACGATTATCAGTTTGTTATTATTCATCAGTGTATTTACAGTAGCAACGATACTGCAATGTAAGCATTACTTATATATTATGCTTATTATTATTATTACCACTGCTATTATTATTATTATTATTATTATTATTATTATTATTATTATTATTATTATTATTATTATTATTATTATTGCTATTATTATTATTATTATTATTATTATTATTATTTATTATTATTATTATTATTATTATTATTATTATTATTATTATTATTATTATTGTTATTATTATTATTGTTATTTTTTTTATCAAAAATTACTTAATTTATTAGACTAATGCTAATTTTTATAAAGAAAGAAAAAAAATTTTTTTTTTTATTTAATTACTTTTATCATTAATTTTATTTTTATCTTGATGATATTGTATTGTTTTTTGTCTTTTTTTTATACGCATTGATAATTTAATATTTGAAATTATCATTGAATATTAATTTATCTACAAATTGATTTATCATATAAAATTTTTATTAATGAAACATTATAATAATCATATAATAATTATTCTATGTGATAATGTTGTAGATGAAAAATTTTTCATTAATTCTTTTAATGAAACTATTCCATTAAATTTTAAATTTAAATGTAATGCTGATTTACTCATTTATAATTTTAACCTTAGTTAAAATTATGAAAAAAAAAAATTGCTTTTAAATTAAACTGAAATCTGTTTTTTTTTTTCCTTTTTTGAAGACTAATTTTGAATGATAATCAATGATTATACTAATGTAATTAATGAACGAAAGAATTATTACTTTAATCTAATATACTTTCTTCAACGATACATTATCGCTTCCAAAATTTGAGATATTATCTATTTGTAATACTGTAAATTGTGAGATTTTAAAGAATTTCAGTAATTCATTAAATTTTTATTGACTTTTTTTTCTTCGATCTTGCAATTTATCATACTCAATTTTTAGTGAGCGGTGTTGTCGCAGATCATACAGATCTGAATTCATGTTTTGTTTACAAGAAAGGTTATCGACTGGAACTGAGCGCAAATGATATTGAAAGTACGGAAAGTGTGGAATTTAAGGATGATTGTCTCAGATCATGTCTTCGATCATTACTTTCCGGTGGATTCATGTGTCGTTCATTGATGCATATGCCAAAAGATGAAGTAAAATGTTTTCTACCTTAAATCGATCAATTAAAAATGTGAACGAAAAGAGAATAAAGAAATTAAGAAAAGATGAGATGAAATGAGAGAAGAAATTCTAACATTTATTCTAATAATTAAGGTAAAATTTACATTTGATTATTCAAGCAAAAATTGATTAATGATTATTTTGATAATACTCGGTGAATCAAACGAACAATCTATTTTCAGATTACTTTTCAGTTTTAAAATCTAAACATAACATTCATATTTGGATTGAATATTGAAAGGCATTTATTTTCAAAAAAAAAAAAGAATTCGATGATTCAAGGAGTTAATTTGATTTCTTAATTAATAAATTTATGGATATATGAAGATTAAATTAAAAAAAAATTTTCAGGACTGTGTACTCACTGCACTTGATGGACAAAAAGCTGTTCGTATAGAACAAAAACCATCTCACATACCTGTGAATTTCTATGAGAATTTATGTGCCAAACTTCCAGTACAAGGTTAATCTAACTTATAATTTTTAAAATTACATTCTATATATACCCAGATCGCAATAATGCAAGTTTTATTTTAAAGATACATAAATGAGATAGACTATTATTATGTATTATGTCTCCAAAAAGAAAAAAAAAGAAAAAAGGAAACGTTTGAAAAGAGTCGGTAATGATGATAAGATGTTGCAGGTGGCGTTGTTGAAGGAATGTTGAGAGGTTTCCGAGGTGGAAATGGTATGATTAAACTAACACAAATTCAAGGTTCTAACTCGTTTGCACTTATAATTCTGGATGGTGTTCATGAGAAAAAGGTTTCACTTCTAATTTTGTACTTTGTTTTTGATCATACTAAATATATAATTTTATATATGTAAAAGATAATGGAGATCGTTCAACATTTGGACTATTTCTTGCTAATCTAAAATATTTTTCTTCAGGATTTTGACATCACTTACCACAACGAAGAAATCAAGGACTGCTTTAAAATGACTACGGATGAAAGAAAAAATGGAAAGAAACTGCTAACTTTGGATTCTGATGGTGCAGGAATGGCTGTTCAGGTAATTTCTTACTTGATGTTTTGAAAAGATTCCTAAACTGATGGGATTATAGATATATCTAGTTCAAATTAAAGTTAAAAAAAATCATGGGTGAAAAATCTGAACTTAACAAGTTTAATGACTATTTCCTTTCCATCATTTTCAAAATTTCATTGAAATATTTTCAAAAATTTAATTGAATTAAAGCCATGGACCGAAATCGAATTTGACATACTCAACGATTCAGTTCTCAATAAAACAGTTACTGTAGCGGAAACAAGTACCGGTGAAGTGATTCTCTGCGGGAAATTAAAAGTGAAAGGAAGTAGGGAGGAGTGGGAAAGAGCCAAAAATGGTATACAAATGTCCAGCAAATTTTGTCTAACTGCTATCCTTTGTATTCTGGTGAGTGTTTTTAAACAAATTCATGACCTGCCTTTGATTTAAGAATTGTACATAAAAACTTTATACAGGAATTTGAGTTTAATAAATCATACAGCGAAGTATTATCACTGTAAACAATAACATTAACAGTAAAAATTGGCCTGTCATACACCTGAAGGGGTTGACATACGATGTGTGAACGCTGTGATTTCTACTCTAACACATGATTTAGATACCTCAGCACCAAACTATGATAAATTAGTAGCGGTTAAGCTCTCATCTTACCCAACAGAATCAACTAATATTTCATCCTTCGTTGTGATAACTGAACAAATTTAAATCAAATCAATGAAAAACAATGTTAATGAATCACTAGAATTGATCTGTTGTACTATCTCGAACGATCATGGCTTGCCACTGTTCTAAAAATAGTGGTTTAAACTATTGCAAAATAAGCTCGTGTAAAAGTTAGACATAATGTTCTAGTCATGAAGCAAAAATACAATAACTGAACCCACACACTTGAACGACTTACGTCCGATGTGGATCACGTCTGTGTCGCGTTGTACGAGTGGATGGTGATGCTTCAGAGGACTTCGTGCCTGGAAATTAAATGAAATTACATGAAAAAAAGAATATTAAATTGCTAATTTCTTTTTCGTATACAAATATCTCCCATAACTGTTCCTGAGGACACATTTTCAACCAACCACCAACGCGAAAAAGGTGTACTACCATATGTACATGGAACTCATAAATAGAATTAATGCCATACCTTTCGATTCCGCGCTTCTATCCGAGCCACTGCTACCCTCATTCCGTGCTATTTTTACATTTACGTCACTGAAAATAATTTCTATTAAATGTGAAACATTTACTTTTAAAATTTAAAGTTGTCGACAAAACACCTACCTGTCAGTCGGTTCCGCAGGTCGCTTCCATGTTCTCTCTCGCGTTTTTAGATGATCGTCTGGAGTCTTTACTTTTCCACGGGTCTATAAAGCATGAGAATTATTAATCGTATTCATATCTGCAATTAATAATCATATAAGTTAAAACAAGAAATACCAGTGTTGATGTAATAGACTCCCGTTTACGTTCCCTTTTGTCTTCTGTTCTCATTCTCTCTTTTTCCCTTCTCGGTGCTTCGTCTTCCACTCCTTTATTACTTCTGGTCTGCAAAAAAAAAATTGACTGGAGAAAGATTCAAACTAATAAGTGCTAGTAAAAGGAACAATATATTGTGGTGAAGATTGGATAAAGAAGAAACAAAATGCACAAAGAATTAGATAATTATCATTATTTCGTTTTGACAAATAATTTTATGATAATCAGTCCGAACGTTACCTGAGCACTTTATGCAAAGAAAAAAAATCAAAACCACTAGGAGAATTATAACAGAATCCTTAGAAGTTACAGTAGCACTCACTTTTTTGTGAGATAGAAGAGCTTCGGAGTGAGAATTTGGTGGTGGTGAACCCACTTCACCTTCTTCCATTTTTAACTCTTCTTTTTCCCGGTGTCCTTCTTTTCTAATTTCGTTACGACGTAATTGCGATTCTTCATTACCCCTCTGGGCTTGAATTTGCGGCCGATCCTCTCCATCGGAAACTTCTGGAATAATTTGAAGCTTTTATATATAGTACAAATGCAAAAAATAACGGTAAAAGAACTACAATAAATCAGCAATTACTTAGTTTTTTTTTCGCTATGAGTTCAGCAGGCAGCGGCTCCAAAGGTTTTCGTTTTTCATCTACTGTAACCAGAGTTTTACGTAGTTCTGCTGCTCCGTTTGTTGGTTTTCGAAGTTCAGCAGCATTTCCCTCTGCCAGATTTTTCTGTTTGCTTAACTCAGTAATTTCCATCGCTGAACTTTTTGTTGCAGCTTTTACATTTGTATTTGCATTTGCACTTCTTGTTGCACCTACACGTGTAGTCTTCTTTGTTACATCAGTTAGCCGCTGCAAAACTGACATATTTATAAAGATGACAACATGGACAAAAAAATCCTTCAAAAAGTACTGATTCATAAAAGACCTTAGATTGTAGTATCTATTTTTTTTTTTTGCAAACAAAGCATTATGATCATATGATGCCATACTTAAGTGAAAACAGGACTTGTGTAAATAAAGTTTAATGAAATATTTGTTAGAAACTGATAGTTACAACTTTATCTAAACTTGAGCAGACGAATTTATATTTATCCAATAAATTAATTGTTAATGAATAACAAATATTTTTAGAGTTTTATGCTCTAAATCAAGTTCTTGGAACGTTTAATTTAGAGATTGAAAAAAGAAAAAAAAACGAATAGAAACGATAACATTATGGAACTGTGATTCGGTATATGTATGTGCTTTGCGCATTCGTAAATGACCTGCGTAGGAGGCAGCCATCAGAGAGAGATCATCTCTGCGACCTTTTTCCATATCATGCACTTTGTTCACAGTCTTCTCAATATTTGCAATATGGTTTTCAATTAACGGAAAATATGCCAACATCTGAAAGATTCATAAGTGTTCGTCAAATAAAAATTTGGTCAATCAGGATAAACTACAAAAAATTACTGTCTTCAATACTGCTCTCCCCTGAAGTGTGACAGGTAACTAAGGAGAATCTTCTCACCTTAATCATGACAATTAAACAATTCCTCATCATTACATAGTTTGAACTGTCCAAAATCCCGAGACATGACCGAGTCATCCTGTACTGCCATTTGTGACAGAGAGTTCTAAAAACAGCATTTTAAGAACCCTAAATTTAACAACTGCAATGAAATATGATTTTTATTTAACCTCATACGTAAAACAGACCTTACTAAAACCAATGAACAATACCTGTACGATTCGTAATTCATCCCATCACTAACACTTTCGGTATTCGTCGCTTCTGGATTTCTCACGTGCAATTTAGTCATGAAGCCGGGGAAGCGATAACATTCCTAAGATCGTATTTCTTAAAAATTCCTGATCTACTTCATCTGTAGTTCAAAGGATGCAGCATTCTCTTTATTCTTTTATTTTTCATTCAATAAACACACCTTATCGAAAACCGTCTTGTCACCATGCCAATGTTGCACAGTTTCAAGCACAAGTGCTAGAAATCGTCCGAAACAATTCGCTTCATTCTCGGTTAGCGTAGCCAATATAGCACCAATGTCGTTGAATAACTAAAAATATATGAAACTACAGGAAGCAAGAAATTCTAAACAATGGAATTCAATTAAATGCACGCATGTATTTATATCTTTATCAAAGAAAAAGATAAAACCTTATCAAAGAAAAAGACAGTTTGGAAGAAACCAGTTCGTTGCTGATGAAGTAAAAGAATGAAGTGAGCGCAGAATGCAGCATCCATATCAGTAAAGACCGCACGCGGTAAAATACAATGCTGTAAAAAGCGTGCCATTTGTGTACCGCGAAGCTCTAGAATTTAAAGATTAAAAGCTTGGAAGTTTCAAACTTCAATTAGAATATACTCTACATCACTAGTATGTTATATATCTTCAGTGTGATACAATTATACATGAATGGCTTTTCCTCCAAAGCAATCTGAAAAACCTGTGAATCTATTAGGCCTACCGTACATCATTCTTCGAGAATCAATGCTTCTAGCTATGCCTTGAAATTACACTCTAATTCTATATCGCAATAAAACAATCAAGTCAGATTTCACAGGTAAATAAAAATCAGTTTAACGGAACAGAACACTAGCCACTTACTTGGGCTACAATCAGCAAACAATAATTCCTTGTCATGTCTCAAAATATTTAAGATGCGTTCCACATGATCATTCTGTTTTTTCAATTCATCGGTTAGTTTCTTTTCCACGTTACGCAATTGTTCTTCTTCTTTTGCTCTTTTTGTTTTACTCTAAATGTATAAAACATTGATTACGATTCAATCTTAGAAATAACTTTAAAACTTGACAAAGGAACACGTCTAAGCAAAATCAAATATGAAATTACAGGAAAAAATTAACTGAATTCATTTTCTCGACTTAAAATAATTGGATCTAATCTTAATAACAAACTACTAATTGGATCTCATATTAATAGCAAACTAATACAAACTACTATTTACTAAATGTCCTCATATAACAATAAATTTGGAGGATCATCATCATCAAATTTTAATTCCTTACAATCTCAGCATTTTCAGCAACAAGAGACAAGGATCTGCGAACACGCTGCAATTCTCGTTCGTAGGTGCTTTTCGGGACAGAAATATCATACATGGATAGAACCCAAAATATTGTAAATATCCTGGAAATCCAGTTCTTTTTACTTGTAAGAAACATTAATAAATACTCTTTCAAGTTCAATAACAAAAAATTCCTTCAAGAACTCTGGAATATGCAATGAAGCATATCACACTGAATTTTAACATTATTCATCAATTAACTGACACCTTCATATACTCCTATTATATTTTATTTCGTTCTAACAATATGTTATTTTACGAACATTAATTTTATAAAAAGAGTATGATTAAAAAAATAATGGAAGTACTTGGATGAAATGTCTGCCCAAATGAAGTCAGGCAATAGAGGTCGAAGGTTTGACTCTAATTCTCCAATCATTTCATCGAAAGCGGTTCGAAACAAAGCTGACTTGCGATTAGAGTCCAATTTCATTTTGCTTCCGTCCGATTCGCGAAGCGACTTGCGACTTTTATCGAAATTATTCTGTAACCTTTGCACAAATTTAAATCTAAAGAGAGACGACAACCAGAAGGACTCAGCAGTTGGTTTCAACCTGTAGCAAATGCTACTACAACATTCATTCAATAAATAATGTTATGATTGTCAAGAATTTATCAAAAAAATCGTTATAAAAGCAATTTAGATCCATTTTGGAAGTAACATAATTGTTACGACCGATAATATTCATCTAACCGTCATAAAAACGTAAAACAAACATAGACACGGTGCATGAAGGTTGGTCTTGAGATGAAAAAAGCTGCATCCACGGGAAGATGAAAGCGACCGACGAGTTCCCAAACAAAGGGCATCCGATTACAGTAATCTTCTTGTCGTACATTTGTACGCAAAAAGGAACCAAATTGGATCAAAGTTTCTTGACACTAAAAATCCAGAAATTAATCTGAAACTCAAAAAAAGATATAAATCATTTAAGATCATTAAAAAAAGCTTGAAAATACCTGATCGAGCATTTGACCAGCAAGCTTGAGAGGTATATCTGGTGATTCGGAATACACTATACATTGACGTTGCTGAGCAGTTAGTATAGATAGACCTACGATGAGATGTTCCTTGAACAGTGCATCACGAAGACGTAATATAGCACGTCTGTTTGTACGAACCGTTGAAAATGAACCTGCCTAATATAAAAAAAAAAAAAAATGAATAGAAAATTTAGATTATTTCATAAATCTACAAAATTGGAATTCATAAAACTGATAAAATACTTCGTTATGAGAAAACTGTCTCCTTTGACACAAAATCAATAAACAAACGAACAAAAATTTACCTCCTGCCTCAGAGTATCACCCCCAGCAAGTGCTTCCAATTGATCTGCTGTTAATCCTGTCGTAGATTCAATGCCGGACATATTCTGTATAATTTCACGCAGGACCAGTAAGTCGAAGCTTCAAAAGCACAGAATCTCTTACATGTTACCACCAAAATTAGAATTAATTAATAACAATATTGCAGTTCAAATTTAAAGAATATTCATACCTTTTGTTGTTTTTCAGCTGATTTGCTACGTATTGTAAAACTCCTGTTAACTCGATGTTGTATTTCAGAAATACATTTCCAACAAAAGTGGCAAGCGATTGTAACCACGGAGAAAGAGATCCATCTGATGCCTGAAAATCAAATGCTAAGAAAATCAATAAAAAGACGAGATTGTGATGTATATAAAAGTTATTTCGTGTGGTAGGAACATTACACGCATTGTATTATATTAATTACATCAGTTTTACGGCAATGAAAAAGGCAGTGGAGAAGCCACTGTATATGGAAGGAAAATATTCAATCCTGTATTAATGAATGTTAATGCAGATCTCATTAATATCTTAAGACCAACTATCTCAGTGATATTTTGTAAATTGCTATGAGACACTGAATGCTTTATTAGCCATTTTTTTTTTCACTGACCTTAAATTTTAAGATTACTGACCTTAAGTTGCTGTTTATCCGGAGCTGCCAAATGTTCGATGATACAAAAGGAGAGCACGTCAAATTCCAGATCACTGAGGAAACGTATTGATTCAACCACAGGATCAATAAGATTTTCGAATGTTTGAATCTGCAGTACATCACGTACATTTATACAAATTCAAGTTCGAATGATTTCGCTCAATTCTTTGCAAACAGATAAATTCTTTATGACAATTTTTCTATTTTTTTTTTTTTTTTTTGAAAAGAGGAAAGAAACAGTAGTTCTTACATAATGAATTGAACACTAGAATTTTTGAATACATTAAATACGCATTCAAACTCATAATTTTAGTTGCGAAAGAGCAATACTTAATCCAATAAGCTAGAGTTGTCCTAATGCAAGAGTCTCACCTAAACACAACAAATACTATATTACCTGATCCAAAATATAATCGAAAACAACTGCAGGATGTACGTGGCATAACTTTCCTAACTGACGGCCCATCATGCGTACCGTTTCCTTTGATAAACGTCTGTAACAAATTGTAGAAAAAGCACTTCAAATAAACTAAAGAAATAAATAATCACTTTTTAGCGCGCCCATGAAATAAATTATCATAAATTGAACCACCATTTTCGTAAAAAGAAAGACAAACTTTAGTACATATCTCGTCATGCCAAAAGTACTTCCTCGAGAAATGTTAATCTGAGGATGACGCATGGTATGCACTGTTTTCCATCGTGCATATGATCGATATCGTACTGTATATGGTAAATGGCTGAGTAATTTCCACAACTCTTGTGAATATGCGAAATTGCCATTTGCTAAGGATAATGCTGGTACTAGAGTTTCATCGACTGCATCAATGAGCGCATTGCATACTGAATCTTAAGCAGCAGTGAAGAAATGTTTATGATTCAAAAAATATTAGAAGATAATGAATGAGAAAATTTCACAAACCACTGTCGTTTTGGAAAGTTTGCGCCCAAGCAGGATCTTTTTCTCTTTCTTCAAAAAATAATGCCATCAACCGCACCAGTTTTATAGCTGCTTTGGGCCGATAAGCAATATGCGGACCAACATATGCCAAAACAGGAAGAACAACGGAGACCAACTCTGACCAACTACCAACCTAAACTTAACGGTGAATGTATTAAGAACACTTATATGGAGAGGTTTTTAAAATAAATCTTTTTGTACTTTTCTGATGACTAAAAGCAATACTCCTGTTCACTGAGAAATCATAACATTTTTTCGTGTCTAACAAAACCAAAGAAATTAAAAAAAAAAATGCAAGACGTACGATCTCGAGAGAATGAGTTTGGGCTAATGATGAACTTAGATTGAATGTACCGGTGTCACCCAAAGCAAATCTGGACTTTCTGCAAATAAACTACTCATTAACATTGAATGCAAATAATTCCTCTCTTTCAATAATTTCTTTAATGCATGCGATGTCTGTGCTTTGGAGTTTGTCATATTGTTACTAATTTCTAACAGAACAACTTCAATATATATCCTATTATTTCACTTGAAACTAAGAATAACGAACTCTTGGTAGAAGTCATCAGTAGATCGTTCCAATAGATCCGCAATAGAGAGAGCTATAGAACGCCTAAAATAGGATGTATTATGAGTTAAAATCAAACTGTAATGGTGTGAAGGTGAGAAAAAAGAAACTTTTGAAGTTATACTACATTTTAACAGAATTGCGCTAAGTTAAAACTGCTTTCCATCCCAACAGACTGATAGAACATTAGAATACACTTCAGTTCGATTTCGTAAAATTTACTTAAAAATCAGAGAGACACATTAACCACATAAGAAACAATTACTAAGTATAAATAAGTATAAGTATGAGTAAAATAAAAGCCAAAAACTTGACAAAATAAAAAAAATAAAAAATACGAGGCATTGACAGCATAGAATTCAGGGAATCTGTCGAGCATCTGTTTCGCAAATTGCCAAGCACCTCCTTCTAGCAAGGCAAACGTCAAACCAAGCTTCTGATTTTTTGCAAGTATAGCATCCTGAATTTTAATATTATAAAAGAAGTAAAGAGTAATGTAGAAGCTTCTATAGATAAATTATAATTGCAGTTTACAGTTGTCTTTTTTTCTCTTTTTTAATAAGCTAATTTTCAAGAAATTTTTTAAGAAAATTCTCTTTTTAAAGCATTACGTCAAATAAGAAGTATAAAATTTTAGAAATTTAAAATTCATTTCATATGCACATGTAATGGTACAGAAAATTTGAGAAAAAACAAACATCATTGTCTTTTTCATCGATTTGTTTTACATCATCGGCATTCTGTACCGCCAATACGGAAGCAAATGATACGCCCGCAATGGTAGCATTATCGTCCACATATCCAGCTGTCGCTGCCGAAGGAACTCGTGAATCTACTGATACCATACCAGTAGAGATGGTTTCATTCTTTTTAGCTCGTTTTCCATCTCGCTCAACACGACTTTTGTGATCGTTCATCATATCTTCCAGTTTTGGAGACAACTAAAAGGTACATTTTAGTGCAAAGCATTTACAATAATAAGATTATGTTAAAATACCACATTTCAATAAACAAATAAACTTAGAATTCCTTAAGGAAAAAACCAGTATATGATTATGAAATGTTAATTTTCAAGTATGATAAAATACCTACAAATGTGCATAGCGACAACAAATCGATAACTCTTTCGTCACACAAAGCAGCTGCTACTCTGTAAAGTGATGCAGGAGTACTACCGGAACGCTGAAACTTCAAATATATAAACATCTCAATTTAATGGGTTCATCCAATTACCTAATTTTAAAATTTTTTAGACTTAACCAGTATGAAACAACATAAAGTCAAAGACATATGAAAAGAACATGATAGGATAAGAATAGAACCTGATAAAAAGTAAATTTGAATCCTAGAATGCTGCATATATCATCACCAGTCGCTTTGAATTCAGTTAACAAATCGATAAAAAACTTGCGACGCTCCAGTGCTGATTCAAAACACTCAAGAATGATGTCAATCACTCGGTTCGGATCCAAATTAAATTGTCCTGTAATAAAAAAGAAAATAAAACTGAAATCCCAATTTTTTACAATAGGCAAAAATCTCATTTTTTTTGTTTTGGTGGTGTATAGAATAAAAACAAAAAATCAGTACCAATTAAATGATAAAGTCGACTTAAGGCCTTTGATACACTGAGGGAAGGATTATCAAGAAGCTCTGCTATAAGCTTCGCATAACCTTCGCTTTCCTCACGTAGTAAATTGAATTTCACTTGCTTGAAACTGAAAAAAATTATCAGCATGCATATATGTTTTTTTTTCTTACAATTTGATAATTGTCATTGGTGACCTCCTCCATAATGCTTGGTGCGAAGTAAATTATAAAGAAAAGCAAAACGGAAAGTAAAACGAGAATGACCGACATCGCCGACAAAACAATATTAAAACGACTAACAAAAGCCTAGTTTTTGTTTTTACAACTCGTGATCGTGTTGCTTGCTCGTTGGCACCCAGTATATCCAACTCACATTTTAATACATCATCAGCAACAATCTGCAAATTTATAGAATAGAAAAATGGAGCAAAAAAAATGAGGTGAACACTACCATCATATAGTGAATTTTATCCAAAAAGATTACACCGTTTAATTATATAATTCTAGTTCATTTCTAATATTATAATCTTTAAGTTATTCAACCTAATATACAATTAAGTTATATTATGCGGAAGTGATGTATCAATTCAATGTGTTCACTTGCCCGGTCAGACAGATGTGACAACAATTCCAAGAAACATTTACGAAATTCTTCACTCTTCTTCTCCGTGCTCAATTCCAGATCCACAATTGCCAAAACATCCACCAGCAAACTAGGAATATTATCAATCGTTTTCTGCAAACGTGAAGCATTAAACCGAATATTCTTCATTTAAATTTGTCTTCTCGATATTATAAATGCTTGAAGACTGACTGTACTATTTATCACGCAAAGCAACACCATGTAACAATTTCTGAGAGACATGATGTAAACAATGATATGAATACTGCATAGACAGGGGAAGTATGAAACATCTAAATAAACTGGAAATAACCATACCATAAGTGTCCGAATCATGTTGCATGCAGCATCTGGAGCTAGCTGTCCCTCCGTAACTCGTCGACATATCTGAAGTAGTTCCACCTGTGGAGTAAGTATTTCTGATGTTGAACTCATCCAATATTTTATTCTTTAACACTCGATTTTCTTGACTGAAACTAGTTATTCTTCGAGTTTAACATTAAGAACAATTATCACTTTGTATACACTAACACATGCCTACATAACAATATAAACTGACAAACATTCAAGTTCCCGTCGGTAAAAAAGAAACGCTTTGAATACGAATGAACGAGTTAATTATGTCTACACATCCTTCTCTTCCGACGAATTTATACTTTCTCTGTTATTGATATATCTCATATAACGTTACTTTACTATATATTTCAGCCTATATTACTACCACATAATGAATTCTGCTACATTTATTCTCTTAAGTTAAATATTAACTAAAAAGAAACTTTCAATTTGTTATACTATCGAGAATGATCTAACTATCGATATCTGCTATGTAAGAGAGATCCAGTTACCTACATATTTTGTTACTAAACAATTGTGCATTCGTCATTTTGACTTCTTTTAGAAGATCGAAGTGTTTGGTTCCATGCAAAGTATTCGAAATGTTTCCCTCCACCAAAATCGAGTCCAATTCCAAAATTACCCATTGTTTAGTCGAAATTCGTCGTTTTCGGAATAAGGACACGTAGAGAAGCTTTATGGACGATCACGTAGCTCCCACATAATATTTCCAGCTAGCTAATCACAAACACGTAAACATGCACCTAACACTTTTTACCAGTTGGTTTCAAAACCACATTACTACTCAAAAGTGCACATCGAAATAGATTGAAATTGGTCTAAACTATTTTGTTATCGATGATGTCAGTAAGATTGAGAGTCTCGTAGTTTGGTGGTACTGCGAGGTTTGTCATCTGCTGACCTTTGAACTCGACAGATGGGTTCATGTAGCCAAATGATGTGTCTATGATGATTTGAGGCAAAGTGTACAAATTGCAAGCGTTCCTTATGGAAAAGTTACAATATTCATTATGTACTCATTTGCGATACTCGCTATTTCAAGTAATAACTTAAACAGTGTAAAGTAATAACTCAAACAAATAATTTAGCAACGAATACAAGGATAAGTGATTGAACGTGGATTGAAGCGTATAAATGATTGGACGTGGATTGAAGCGTATAAATGATTGAACGTGGACTGAAGCGTACAAATGATTGAACGTGGATTGAAGCGTATAAATGATTGAACGTGGATTGAAGCGTATAAATGATTGAGTGTGGATTGAAGCGTATAAATGATTGAACGCGGATTGAAGCGTATAAATGATTGAACGTGGACTTACGTAGGAATGTAAACAAATGCTGAGAAAGTCAAATTGAACAGCTGAATTTTTAGTTGTGAGATAAATTAAGCATAACATATCGTATTCAGAATGAATTGTATCATTGAATATAGTTGTATTAATGAATTTTATTGTCATTCATTGAGTAATTAATAAGTTTTGCTGGATGAAATAGTCTTTCTACTGCTTTGCAACTTATAATTTCTTGCTAAAATATTTAAAATATGTTTTTGCTTTTGTCATCGAAACTACACCTCTTTAAATCATTAAAAATAAAATTTTTTTGAAATTTATTTCTTTCAATTAATTATACATTCCTGAAATGATTTTGAGTTTTTTTTTTTTTTTTTATAGAAAAAAGTTTTTTCAGCAGACAAGAAACGAAGAAATAGCAATCAGAAAAGCAATACTGCTATGCAAACTGATATTGAAAAAAGATTTCAATTTCATCCTTACATTATTCAATTAAGAGCAATTTTCAATTTTTATAAATATCTCACTTTCATAGGGCAAAATTCGCTATTTAATTATGTTAGTTTACAATTATAATGTCACCGACCGGTTTCAGACTTTTTATTTAGTTGAAATCAATCAAACAAAAAAAAAAAAAATTTTTTTTTTTGAAATATCTATTTTCATGACAATTTCGTTCACATATCCTAGTGATAATTTAAAAAATTCTAACATTTCAATTCAATAATTGTTTATGACTTATTAAAAATAAACATTCCCTACTATCAATCATAGGATGTAGAGAAATAAAAATAAAAATTAAATGATTAAAAGCTTATTTCATAAAAATTACAATATTATTGAATTTTTTTTTCTTTTCAACACAAAATTTTACACATTTGCTTGAAAAAAAAAAAGTGACAACCTATTGTTTATGCATTTTTCTCCTATTACTTATATCAAAGTTACTTCATTATATTAGGAACGAAGAAATTTATTATGCATTTGAAAAAAGTTTAACATTTGAATAAACATTCATAAATTTAAACAAAAAGTTTTTTTTTCTTATAAAATAAAATTACTACTGATATGTGATATAAAAGTGCATCAGTTCCTATTCAAATTGATGAAATATAAAATAGATGAGACAGTCAACACTTTCTGTCAACATCTTTTCATGTTTCCGACATTGAACATTTCATTTTCTCCAAAGATCTAAATTTTTTAATTGTTACTCCAATTATTTCCATCAAATATATCACTTTCTTCCTTTATTCTTTACAATATATATAATACATATATAAATTTTAATGTAATATTTTTATTTATTTATTTTTTTGTTTGCATACAAAATTATCATAAAATTAATCTGATCTTTTTTGAAAATGGTTTGATTAATAACAATGAAAGTTTGTAGTATATTACAGCAATTATTATTATGGACAACAAAGATTTAATCGTTGCAGTTTGATATTTATGACTGATCAAACTTGAAATTTTCTCAAACTTGTTAGATTCGCTTACATACTGATGTATTATCTGCATTAATTAACCGGTTATCTTCTTTTTTTTTCTTTCCTTTTTAAAGATTATTAAATAATTACTTTCATTTTAATTTGCTCATTAAAAGAAAATTTAATTTAAGGCTAAAGTTTCAAATTTCATCTTTTTTACTTTTTTACTTGCTGAGTAAATATATTTCTTATTAAATGTATGGAAATGTTAGTGGTTAATTTCTGAAATAAATTTTAAAAGTATTTACTCAAAGTTTCTCTTAGATATAGTGATAAAATTTCTAATAGAATTGAATTAATTTGAATGTTGAAATTTTTAACTATGATGAGATTATCATTTTAAACTTTTTTTTTTCTTTGTTATATTAGTTTAACTTGTTGAATTCAAAATAAAAACAGAAAGTAAAAAAAAAAATTAGAATATGAGATAGGAAGAAAATTATATTTCAACTATTTTTTTTTTTACAGATTTGCAAACTAAATGATAAATTATTTCACTTATCTTTTTATTATATTTATAAATCAATTATATTAACTAATATTTATAAATTGTTTAACAATATTTGAGTTATTGAAATATGATGAAAAGTCATTATTACAACCCATTTTTAATTGTCATATTGTATATTAGATAGTATAAGAAGTGATTGATTACATTTCATTATCAATAGCTCATTTCATAGATTTATAAAATTTTGATATAAATAAAAAGTTGTTGTAAATAAAGAATAGAATTAATAATTAGACGAAAAATTTGTTAATGATTTAATTTTTTGAATGTTTTCTTGAATAATTTCATCTCAAAAAAAAAAAATTTCTCAAAATAATAATTTCATCTCTTTCTTTCTAATATTAATACATTACTTTTTGCTACTTGCCTGATGTCAAAATTATTGCTAATCATTTTCAAATTCAGCCACAAATACTGAAATAATATTTAACACAGAAATAATGAAGGATAAATAAGTAAATAAATATTTCATCAATCTTTAAAAAGAATGTCACTGTAGATGAAAAAAAAAAAATGAAAATTAAAAGTGCCCTGAAGGATTTTTCATTCTTTTGTTTTTCCATCCTTTTTGTAAATTCATTTTTTTTTTTTTTTTTTTAATCAGTAATTTTGATGAGAATAGTCGTTCCACTCCTGTAACAATAAAAATTTATTTTTTCTTAAATTTAAAAAAAAAAAAGAGAAAAAGTGTGACTAGTAGAAATCTCTTCTTTTGTTTCATTAGTAAGTGGTTATTTTGATTTTTTTTTTCACAGAATTGAGTGAATTTAAAAGATTTACGTTGTGATTAACATTGAATATTTTATCACTTAAATTTTGATTATAAAATAATTTTATTCTATGATAATTATTTTCTCTGATATTTATTGTTTTTTTTCATTCTGTGATATCTATGACATATTTATTTAATAATTGGATAATTTAGAAATTTAAATTAAAATTTGAATTGAATCAAATGTTTTAGAAAATTTCAACTATTTAATAATATAATGTATTTGACCGATGTAATGGATAATTATGATTTATTTCATTTTTTTTTTTTATTATTTATTAAAAATTATTAAGAGTTTTTCTTTTTTCTTTTGCTTTTTTTTTGCAGTTATTTTTCATTTTAACGAAATTTCATTTTAGCAAAAATATTAAAATTATGCAATTGGTGTATATTTGTTTTCCAATTCTAATAATATTCCTTGGATATAATGTTCAATGTGAACTTATTCGTCAATGTACATGTAATGAAATACAGAAATGTCGTGAACGAATGTTAAATCTTGTAAAACCATGTGCTGATCGATGCCAGGTATAATAAATAATTTTAGAGTGAAATAAATTTAAATCAAAACTTAAATGAAATCAAATTTTTTGGAAAAATTCAACCATTTAAAGCTATAATAGCTAATTTATCGATGTCTAATTTTGTTTGTATCACTAGAAAAATATTTATTTATATGTTTTTATTTACTTATTGTAATATAAATATTGGCTAAATATATTGGATAAATTTATTAAATAAAATGAAATGAAATTAAATCTAATGTTATATTACAGCGATATGCATATAAGATAAAAGCAGACTATGAAACGCTCAAAAATTGTGTTTTACAAAATGAAGAGAAAATTTCACGAACAATCAATTGTACACAAAATGTTTTCTATAATGCGTAATATTTTTAAATTATAATTTTTTTTTTTTAACACTTTTATAATTTAAAAAGCAAAAAAAGAGAGAAAGAAAAAAAATTTCTGAAATTATTTTTTAATATTAAAAAGATATATGAA